GTTGGTTAAAATATTTTTAACTGACTAAACAAATTGCTGTTTTACTGGTGTAAATTTATGGCGCCTCTCACACTTTAACTAACTGTTGTTGACTTTACCCCCCTCAAAACTAAAATAGCTCCCCCCTCAAAATTAAAATAGATTGGCGCCTTTAGAAAAATTTTAAGGTCAATCAGCCAAAAATGAATATCTCAAAATAGTACAAGGGGGGACCATTTTGGGTCGGCAGGGGGTCAAATCCCTGAGGGGAGGCGGGGGCGTCCGCCCCTCTCCCTAAATCAACTACTGAAAAAGATGATAATTAAAATCTTTAAAAATTGTGAAAAAAAGACAGTTGGTGAGAAAAGACTGCTAAGGAAAAAGGTAATATTTTTGAAAAATAAGATCATTTCAACAAAAAAAAAACATACTAGTTTTTTCAGAAAAATTTTACTAATTTGAATTTTTGATTGAATTTGAAAAAAATGAATAAATCCACAAAATTGTTGCGGCTCATTGATTAAAATGACGAAAGAAAAAGAAATTTTTTTGTGTAGAACAAGTACACGGTTTTCAAGCCAAAACAATATCCGAGTTTTAAAAATCCGAAAAATGAGAACTATGTATTAAATTTGTTTGAAAAACATCATAGATAAGAACAGCTAATTTTCATTTATGACACTAATTGAAAGCCAGAAAAAAAACTGGCGAAAACACTGTGGCGGGGAAAAAGTTCAGTAGAATTTTTATAAGGTTGAAAAAGTCTAATGGAGAAAACGTTAGAAACTTAAAATGTGAAAAAATCGCAGCAAACTATCAACTTAGAGCAAGAAATATCAAAAAACTCAATTGAAAATTGTGTAATAAAACATTTTTCCACTACAGATATTTGACACTGTTTTGAATAAGTTCATTTTCATGTTTGAATTTATTTGAACATTTGAAAAAATCTTTAAAAACAACTAAGAGAGATTGTATTCAAATCTTCTTTCTTGACAGCCATGTAAAAATGGAGCCTAGTCTTAAAATTGTGAAAAGCAATTCTTGCACGAAGTGTGAAAACGAATTCGCAAAAGGTCACTTGACTGTCCATCCAGCAAAACAAATCATCTGTAAAAAATGGATTTTAAAGAACAGACTGCCGAATGCTGCAAATCGAGAACAAGACGCACTGCAAGTTTCATAAATTACAATGCACAACATGATATCTGCACAAACATCCCGTAAGACATTTCTTGTTACGAAGACCAGAATTCGCGTTGAGTGATCACTGCATGGAACGAGAACGATCAGAGCGATAACTACTATTTAGTGTAAGAACAAGTTACGATCAAAACGGGCTAGAAACAGAAACTTGTGTACATAGGATTGGGCTGAGAATAATTCTATCGGCGAATATACCAGTACACTCTGCCAACCCGGTCAAATTTATATAAAAAAAAACATTCTCTACGGTTTAAACTCAGTTATCCTAATTGAAGATAACCCGGTGAAAAATAAATCAAATTAAAGACCTGTATTGCGGATTTACGGAGGACAAAATCAAATTTTTGGGCAATTTGTGGTCAAAACGCAACCCAATGGGTGGGTTTAATTTAAAAAAATTTCATCACAGTGGGACACGAAAGAAACCAATTGGAAAACCACAACGTTCAAACCTGAGGATAGAACTGCAGCTGAAAAATCCCAATGACAGCTTGTTCTGTCAACTAACTACCAATTGGAAGTAAGTCTCATAATTTACCGTTTTACACGGATAAAACCTATAAAATATTTAAAGGTCTACTGAATAGGATCGGCAAAATTTTTAACGATAGCCTAATAACCCAAATTCAAACAACTTTCAAACCGGTCCAAGCAAAAGGCAGAAGAGTCTACCTCCTAGTACTAACAGGATAAAATAACAATATTTAGAAATTGAAGACCAAAGAACACATCGTAAAACAGAAAAACGCAATAAAGCCTAGTTTATTAGCTCAATAAATGTCACAAGAAATAAAAACGGACAAAAAAATTAGCTCGAGACAGGAATTCTAAATGATCAATTTTCAAAAAATAATTATCAGATTCCAAATATCCACAAACTGATAAACAATTTAGCTTTGCAATTGTCAGAAAAACCCACCGGACAAGTATGCGTCCGCAATTTATGAGCATGGCAATATGCCGAACGATTTTCAAAAGGTCAGGGACTCACTTTTATTAGAAATTTCATTTTAAAACTGTTACATTGACAAAATTTTAATAGCCCCAAAAGGTTCATTTGAAGAACGCAAATCATTTGGGACAAAAACAACCTTAGAAAAAACAACAGGACGGAGAAATGGGGCAAACTAGAGTTATCTCACAAAGACATAGACTGATTAGGATTCAACGTATCCGAAGTAGGAGTGCGAACGTTGGTCCGAAAACTGAGGCAACAAAAAAACTTCTCATTCAGAAAAGCATAACTTAAATACGATGATTTTTTTTTAGTAAGAAAATCAGTAGGTCAAATTAGTTTCGAACTTATCAATGCTTAGCTCTCCGCTTAAAAATCTTTTAAGCAAAACAGTTCTATCTTTCAAAGGAAAACCAATCATACTCTAGCTTTTCTAAATCTAAAAGCATCAGTATGTCCAATCTGCGGCTAAACCTCTCTTAAATAGGAAAATTCGATCTTTCAATGGAAAACCAATCATACTTTAGCTTTTCAAATCTAAAAGCACAAACTGAAAATTTAACGGAAAACATCCATTTTGACTTAGACTGAAAAAAAGACGCTTCCAACAGCAGATTGTGAGCAACACTGGGACATTACTTGGGCTGAGTGGAAAACAATTGAGTTCGCATTTAGCTTTTCTAAGTAGCTTCCGGCAAAGTTGGTCCTCAGAACTCAGCAGAAATTTCAAATAAGTTACAACTCAGAAGTTGAAATAAACACGGATCACAAAGCGTTACTTTTGGCAAGTTTGGATAATCAGGGCAAAAAGTATGCACAGTAGACACTCCCGATGGGTGAACAGACTTCAACCTCTCAATTCTTATTTACCAGGTAGGGACATCGATTTCACCGATTTTTCATCAAGATTTCTCTCGATCAAAGTTTTATCACCTTCACAATATAGCGATGAAATTGCTGTGGCCTGAGTTGCAGAGAAACTTCATTCATTAGAAAAAAATGTTATTGGTTTTCATCAATCTTGATTTGTACAGCCTGTATTCTCCTCGTTCATTTTGCCTGGTGTTTTCTAGCGAATCAATTTTATCTAATGTTTCCTCTATATCGTAATAGCCCTTTCTCATTGACAAAAGAAAAAGAAGATCATGCATATCGACATATAGACTGAGTGGTAGTATTCTTAGGGAACTCCACAATTTTAGGGAACTTCAGAGGCCGATTCCAGCAGAAATTTCAAATAAGTTACAACTCAAGAGTTGAAATAAACACGGATCACAAAGCGTTACTTTTGGCAAGTTTGGATAATCAGGGCAAAAAGTATGCACAGTAGACACTCCCGATGGGTGAACAGCCTTGAACCTCTCAATTCTTATTTACCAGGTAGGGACATCGATTTCACCGATTTTTCATCAAGAATTCCCTCGATCAAAGTTTTATCACCTTCACATTATAGCGATGAAATTGCTGTGGCCTCAATTGGCAAAATTCGAGAAAAATAATGTTGTAAATATCAATTCTGTAATTGAACCGTCCGTCGGTGGTTTTATATTCAATTATTAAGAGTAATATTCCATCAGGAACATTTTATTCGACCAATTTGAGTGATTGAGAGCTAAAAACTAATTTGCTAGACTAAATTTAAACTTTTTTAAAATTATTATTACTTCTTTTGCTCAGTCTCTCAAGTTTTTCAGAGAAAGAGTCACGGGGCCAGATGGCCGTTTCATTGGATGACAGCTTTCTTAAAGATGCGTCTTTTTCTTGCTTTTCTTCTTGGTCGCCTGGTACCCCACTGACGAACACCCCGATCAGATCGACTTTGGTGGCCCCATAGTGGAAGTAAGAGTAGTAGTGAAAAATTTAGAGACAACTCAAGGGTTCTTACCCAGATTCAAGTTCATTAGTTTAGTTTTATCTTGTTTGTGATGTTACAGTTTCCACATCTGCATATTATTCTCCATGTGCATTTTTTTCCTCGGAGCAGTGTCGAATAAAGAAGTGCCAGTAGATTTTCTGCAAGATATCTTCATTAAGTTCGTTGCCGAAATTAGAGTACGTTCGTTATTCGTAGTTGCAGAGAAACTTCATTCATTAGAAAAAACTGTTATTGGTTTTCATCAATCTTGATTTGTACAGCCTGTATTCTCCTCGTTCATTTTTCCTGGTGTTTTCTAGCGAATCAATTTTATCTAATGTTTCCTCTATATCGTAATAGCCGTTTCTCATTGACAAAAGAAAAAGAAGATCATGCATATCGACATATAGACTGAGTGGTAGTATTCTTAGGGAACTCCACAATTTTAGGGAACTTCAGAGGCCGATTCCACAAGCGACATATCGTCTGCAATTGACCAAGATCTGAACCTAGAAAATTTCGATCAAAAATTAATTGGATCACAAGTTTTTAAAACTCTTAAAAACTTTAAATCATAATCTTCAATGGAGCGTACACCCTTCTTAAATTCTCCTGGTCTACATAAAGACTCATTTTGATACATTTTTGGCATGATTTGACTCTTCAAATAGTTATTAGTTTGGGCTTAATTTATGATTGACTAAAAAGTCAAAAATGACCCGTTTTTAAGGTAAAATTTTGAGCCCAATTTTTTCAAAACTAATTGAACCATCTTAATTTATCGCAAAGTCCAAGCAAGTTTTCTCTTCGTCGTTTTTTTAACCTAAAATCAATCTAATTTGAGAAAAACGCTTTTTAAACTCAAGTTTTTTGCGTTTCGTCCGGATAATTTAAACAGCACTGTCCGGGCTCCATCCATGCTAATTCTCTTTTCATAAAAGAATACTTGCCTCATTTTTTATTGCATGCTTAAAATATTATATATACATTTATGAAGGTAAGAAATTATTCATAGAATGAGTTATCAGAAAAAAAAACAAAAGAGTTCATGTTGTTCAAAATGACAGTTTCGATTCTATATTTTTCACGACTTCAGATTGTACAGGCAATATTCTATTCAACTGCAGCAATTTCTGGAAAATAGGACAATCAAAATTGTCGCAATCATCACAATATCTCCTGTGACCAGAACACGACAAGCACAACCTCTTCGATGCTTCCAATTGCTTCTGAGCATCACGTAAGTCGATAGTCATCTTCCACATTAGGTATTGTGGATCGGCTAGACATTCGTTACATACAGGAGATTGGAGATGGCACTGCCTCTCGAAACAGGACATACACGTTTTTGTTGAAACAAACAAAGAAAGTGTCAAGGCCTTGTTAGATCCTTTCGACGACGTAAGATTTGCAGCCGTGTTCAACTGATTCGAATAGACTGGCAATTCATTGAACCACTTAAAAACATTCGTGTTCTCTATGAGACCAAAAATTCTATCTAAAGGAGGTAGAACTTGCTTCATAATGTAGTAGAGCGCATTTAATCGGAGCAAAGGATTCTTTGCAAGTTCATTTGGAGACCGTATCAATTTGTATAAAGGTAGCTTTGGCGCACCATACACTATACAATAGGGCACGCGGTCTCCTCTCAGGGGCTCAGCCATTGGATCCACAGCTAGTCGCTTGTCAGCAATTTTCAATGCCGCAATATGAGCTTCTGGTTTGTACCTATCTCTTCCTCGGAACTCCTTCGCAAAAACGAAGTCATTCAATGGAACTCTTCCGTGAGAGATTTTATTCAGTTGTCTTTGAACATAGTCTTTCACAACAGAGAGGTCTTTACAGTCAAATAAAAGACGCAAGCTTTTCTCTAACACTTTTCCGACAACAGGACAATTGTCACGTCTCACCGTTTCGATTCCTTTAGCGTCAAAAACAGGTTCCCTTTGCTCCAGAGTTTCATAAGAGTATCCAACGTACCTTTTTTTCGTAATCAACACGCAGGGTTGGTACACTTTCTCGAATTTCAATTTCACCGGTTTCGGGTGCATTTGTGTAATACTATCGCTTATTTCATGACCTACTTTGAAAGCAGTTTCTCTGCTAGCTCCTGGAAGACGCACAAACATGCTATCTGTATCTCCATAGACAACTTCCGCCTTCCATTTCGAGTAATTGTTCACGAAATCGATGGATTTTTCAAGCGTTTCCCGCGCTTTGCGCACAATGCTGTCCGCTATTTCCACGCATGGCATACGACCAGAAAAGCTGGCACCAGTATATCCATAAGTTGTATTGGCAATCAGCTTCAATCCAAGTTGCCTAGCATCTAGCATTTTGTACAGTACTGGATCTTTCTTATAGTTCTTCATGAATCTTTTCACCATTACTCGAGTGTTCAGAATATCCTCAACCATCTGACATATCAATCCTTTTCTTACTGATGTATCAACATAGACGACGCCATTCGGTGCAATGTGGACTTTCTCTTTTTTGATCAGTTTTCTCACACGCGAAGCTGGGACAAAATATGGAAGAGTTCCCAGTTGAAATATTGAGTTGGTTTCATCTTTGAGGTGTTCGATGCGACCCAAGCACGTTGAATAACAGTAATTATACGCAATCATCATTGACGGATAGAGACTTTGGAAATCTAGCACTAACACCGGATCAGCATAAAATCTGGATTCTGGTTCCAGAACTAGGGGAATGTGTTCTGGGGCACGCATTCTGGCGCGTTGCTGGATACTAGGCGATGCGCACACAAAATTTCGCGCTTTAGCCGATCGAATTAACATGGATTCAACTCTAAATTGAGTTCCACGGGTTAACACTTCGAAAAACAGGATTCCAAAAAGGCGAGACATTTCACTTGTTCTTGTCACGAGATCTAATTTGAGTAGCATTTCAAGATTTCCAATACATCGTGTGTGCAAATGATCAAAAGTCTTGTAAGCAAGTTTGGCGCTAAGACTATGAGATAAAGGGTTGAACCATGACGTCAAATCTTTGTACTTGAAAACGGGAATCCTCTTTTTCATTACCTCGTGATAAACTACATGGAAATCAGACGACCTTAAATTGGATTCGGACTTCAAAATGCGCCACATATTTAGCACTAGTCTTCCCACTAGGTTTACTTCAGACATTTCATCTGCCCCAAATGTATCTCGCTCTTTATCAAAATGAGATTCACCGCTCATTGGTATTCGTGAACATATTTGGGCCATTTTGTCTATTTCAAGTATCGTTCCTCGTTTCAGCAGATAGCCCCACGATGAGTTCTGAACTTCATAACCAACCAGAATGTCAGGATCTAAATTTCGTATAAACAGAGAGAACTCAATGATGAGATCAAATTCAGAATTGCAAAACTTGACTTCGATGTCTCGCTGCACACATAGATGTTCAATACGACGTCTGAAGTTACATTTACTTTGCTCGTCGTCAATGGAAGGTCTTACGACCAACACTCCTGATTCGATTTTATTTCGATTGTTCTCACAGTCATCTATCACAGCGTAGAAAATGGAAACTATAGGATCAAATAACGGATCGGGAAGTAGTGAGGACCTTGTGATGACATGCAGCTCCATGGACATCATTGTCAAGTTTTGATATCGATGATCCTGGCTAGATTCTGATGTAATTGCATCAATCTTTGGTAGCTCACTGCCTACATTGGCTTCATGAATTGAGACGCCTGTTGTACTGTGTCTCCGACAAAATGGGGTCACAGGATGTGATTCCAACAATAGAGGCGAAGTAATTCTCAGATCTGCAGTCTTGTCAACTTCTAAGTCAGTTTGAGGCGGCATGAATGAATAAAACATCGAGGGAGAACTTGGTCGACGGTGATCTGGTTTCGAGTTTTCAAGCTCCTCGGATACTTCGGAAACCGATTCTCTGTTTTTGTCCATAACAAACTCCTCCAATTTTTGGCGGTCAATAACAGGAGGTGGCATAGCTGGAGTAAGTACCATTACTCTGCCAACAGGCACGTCAAAGTTTTCGTCCAATGCGTCGACGCTTTCATGATGGAAGGGCTCGATTTCAGATCCTAATAATCTGTTTTCATACGAATAATCAAACTCGCATAAACTTTGTTCTTCTAAACGGCTCATGACGTAGCCTCTAGTTGGTGGCAAATTTGCAAATGTTATTCTAGAGACCTCATCGTTATCATTTTCAGGAGAACTAAATAGTTTTGGGCTGACCTGAGTTTCGTCGGCAAACATAAGTTTCAGTTTTGGACCTTTTTGTCCTAAATCTTCCGCTAACATTCTGAAGTTTAGTTCATTTGCAAATATGTTTCCTAAATCATGACCCCCAGTATCCAATATCTCAGCGGAGTTATTCTTTGTAGCAGAGGAAGACTGGCTGCATAAATATTCAGAATTGTGAGTCTGAAGCCCTCCTCGGTTGTCATCTGGCCAAATTGATTCGCCTATTTCCGAATATAAATTAGGCCCTTCTATAGATTTGGTTGTAGCTGTGCTTATGTTGCTCAATTCTTCGAAATCGATTGATCTTTCAGCTTCTTCGCATTCAACCATCTCATTTGTCAGATAATTCTGGGCAGTTAACCTATCAATGTCTTTTGAGTATGAAGTTGCAGTTGTCTTTTTAGACTTAGATCTTTCAGCCGTACTGTTTAATTCTTGCCCTTCGCCATCTGACTTACAGACTGTTGCGACACCATTTTCCATTTCAGGAGGAGGGGAGATCTCACAAATAGATATTTCACTATTATAGAGACGAGAGTCACGCCTATTTGACAGTTTGCTCACTTTTTCCGCCTCTGCGTCAACTGTAGTTTGATTGAAACTATCTTCTAGTTTAAGACACGGCTTCAGTTTTTTGACTGAGTTCACTTCGAAGCACGGCAGATCAACTTTGTACTTTCCAACACTTGCCAACTTGATTGCAGGAGTGGTTGAATTAATGCCTTTTGCAGTTGTATGCTCGATTTCAACATAAAGAGACTCCTCCATTCTCGATCCAAATACCTCTGTACCATGAGAACATTCGTCGTCAGAGTTTGCACAGCCGCTGTTACCATCGCATAAACTAGATCCCATAGAATCATCTTTTCGATTTTCAGTAGATGCAGTTGTTCTACGTTCAACTGCCTCTTCTATTTTTTCTCCTCTAATGGTCGTGGATAATGCTTCAGGTAATTTCGAACCACTTTTTCCTAGTAAGGAAGGAGCCAACCTCTCCAGCCGTACAATACATGGTCTCATAACTTCCATATTGTCGCTTTGCCGTTTATCGTTTTGTATTGCAGCATGAGAACTCGAGGCACTGTAGAGTCCACTACGTCCATCCAACTGGGCTAAAACTGCAATTTCATTCTCATCATCTGGTCCGATATTATCATCAGCTTCCAAATCGTACACATCTTCAGGGCATTCTACAATTTGGCTTAAATTTCTGTCTTCAGCTGTATCTAGCTTCAGATCGAAAAATGCTTTTTCAGACCATGTCAAATCTTTTTCACTTTGAATGATCGACAGAAAATCTTCAACTTCTTCGTCGTCCATTTCATGCAAGCGACTTGTATCGATTCCTGATTGGTTCAAAAGTGAGCCACTAATACTCGCTTGAGTCATTTCTGCTAGAAAATTCTTCAAACTCGAGTATGAACAGTTTGAATTGGCTTCTGAAACATTTTGAAGATTCATTGAAGTAATCATCTCCTCGTTAATAAAAGGTTCGTTGCTCACAGTATCTGAACTGAAAGAAACCGCTTTTTTTCCCGGTGATTTATCAATTGAGTTTTCTTCTTTGCCGTGAAAAGGCGTCGAGCTTGCCTTTGCTTTTCCTATTTCAAAATCGTTCTTGCATGGAGTTTTGAAGTTTTGAAATGAAACGTTGCCCGGTGTAAAGGCAGTTTTTGAAATGAATGTTTGCGAGATTTCGAAACTTCCCAGCGCTTCGCAGATTTCATTTAGATGATGTTTCTGAGATGATTCTGCTGGAATATTGGTTCGCTCGGGTGAGCTTGGATTAGCTATATCAACTCTAGCTCCTTGGGAAATATGGGACTGCCTTTTAAACTCATCCTGCCAAATCAATCTCAATCCGGGGTTTCCCAGTCTCTTTTGACTGCCAGTTGGCCCAATTTCGGATTGAGACTTGTTCAAAATGCAACAGGACAATGAGTCAAACTCGACTTCACATACGCTTACTTTTTCCAGAGCTTCCTTATCTCCAGCAACATGAGACTTTTCCGTCTCAGACGAGTTCAACTTCTCCTCTGTGATCTCCTCTAATCGGTGCTTGACGTCTGAAAAATGGATCAAGTTCATACCATACAAATTGTAATCTTGGAAAAACTGCATCACAAAAGGAATGTGACTTTCATAGGGCTGAAACACTGTGTTCATTATCGCACCATGTCCAAGGATGTCAGCTAGCCAGTTGACATGTGCCGGATTGTACATGTAGATCTTCAGAAATTCCTGCTCTTTGTCATAGTAACCGTAAATGGGAGTCGCCGCCACAACTTCGACATTATGAACAAAGTTTCCTTTCATACCTCTGCGATTCTGTGCACGACTAGAGCTTCTAAGAGCAAGTTCGCATGACTGCGCAAAGGCGCGCACAAACTCCTCACTTGTTGTCACGTTAGGATTGAGTGAAACGTAGAAGTAGGGTAGCACTCCGTGAACATGAGCACACACTTTTCGCCCGGTCTTTGCCTGAGGGCCAAAAATTCGGATGACCGGTATCTGGAATGTCTGTTGGCGGTTGAACTCCGAGAAGACAACATCCCAGTTGGGTTCTGGGTGTGACATGGTGTAGTCACATTGCACGATTCTAATAGAGGTGCATTGACTGTGTGCATTAGCAGATGAGTTGGGTGTGAATGTTTTCCCAGCGAAGGAAGGGAATCTCTCGACAAAAGATGACATCCTGCTCCTACAAACATTCTGAATAAATTATTCTAAGAGCCACTTTCAGATTTGAGTTCTCGTTGCAAATAATGACATTTGCTAACTGAAATCAAAGTAGCGGCATTTACTTAATTCTTTAACATATACCACAGAAAATGCAGATACGTCCGTTTCTAGCAGTAGAGTATCATATCAGTCTCATATAGTTGCGCTAATAAAATCTTTGTTACGAAGCTACAAAATACTCAACCATTATCAAACATTAGGCAAACTAATTTAACGAGTTAGATTACTTAATCTCACGTCTCTGCACATGATTTTTCGCCTCCAAAACGAAGATGCAACGTGGACCGTTATAAATGTGTGACCGCCATGTTAGCACTCAATGGTTCCCCGGTTGAACGGTCGCCGAACAGTCACAAAGCCACTGCAGTAAAACTCAAAGAGCAAATCAACTGTTTCTCTTCTTTCTATCTTACAGTCTTTTAGTCTTCACTACCGATGTAAAGCCGCCAATTGTTTCTGTTCAACCATTGATAACATTTACAATAAAAGACGAACCTTCCTAATAACAGCATTATTTTTGCGCAAACTGTCTCAAATTCATTTGCTTACATATTTTCAAATTATTCGATCGATAATCATTATTTGCCGCCAAGTTGATTAAATAAACAACTCCTTTTCTTGTATCCAACCACTTAAAAGGAAAAATTACGCCTTTTGTAAATCAATAAGGCCAAACTGTACATAGCCAACAGAAAGACAGAAAAGTGACAAAAAAAACAGTCTATGAAAAAGTGCCAAACCGAAAAACAAATCATTGAATTTTTTAATAGAGCTACCCCAAATAGAGAAAACTGGGTCAGCAGGTAATCACATGGAATTCTGAAAACTAGCGTCCATTTTTAGACTAAAACTCAATCATGTTTTCTCTCGCCATCTGCAGTTTTTCGGAGAGCGAATTTGCCTTTCATTTAGCAAATAAATTTCAATTGAACTTACAAAGAAATCAAAGTCAATATCACTTTAAAATGGTCAATTTTAATTGGAAGCTCCCAATTGTAAAATGAGTATTAAAAAGCTGTATAATTTTAGACACAGTACCAAAAAAACAGTATCGAAAATGATCAAGTAAAAAAAACTTTGAAAATAGCAATTTTTTGTTTGGAAAATTAGCAAAATAAGCGTGGTTGGAACATTCTATGCTATTTGCACAGCAACCGTCTACTCTTACTTCTTTTTTAAAACTCGGTTTGAAAAACAAAAGGTGTAGATATTTGCGAAGATTCAACTTGACTACATATGAGCGCAGCAATGATAGTGAAAACGATCAAGTCTCAGGAGAAAGGTGGGGGCTCTAGAGAGAACGTGTCCGCCCCTATTGGGGGGAGTGGGGGGAGGGTGACTACTAAATGGTACGACACCAAGCGGGGCTGTGTGTCCATAGAGGTCTTCATCATCCTCCTCCTGATAGGAGTGCTCTATGCATGCCACTTCATGGCCATCCGATACATGCCCCCCACCCCTCCACTGCAATACGTCAACGTCACCACTCCTTGCGGAGTGTACATTGGAATACAACAGCATAACATGTACACATTCAAAGGTAACAACTTTTATAAGGCGGCTGAAGTTGTAAGCACTGACACAGAGGCGAAAATGCACTCCGCATACACAAACAAAAACATGACCGACAACGCTACTGGCAAAAGCTGAATTAGTAACATTTTGAGTCTACAAAACTTCTTAAGTGACGCACACCAATTATTAAGCAATAGCAGTCAGTTTGAAAAAAAAGTTGTTTTTTAAGCCAGCAGCAGACCACTCTGGTTAACCAAGTTTCTAATTGGAGAAAGTCAATTAACGGTTGTAAAAAACTTGTTGATCACAAATTTTAAATTGATAACAGATTGTATATAATGTCTATCTTTCTTGTTCACTGTATTCCAGGAATTCGATATGCAGTTTTGAAAGCTGGTCTCGCAAACAACGAAAGTGCACAGCCAGTTTGGGTGAGTCAAGAAGCAATTCAAACTTACTGATGTAATTCCAATTTCAATTGGCCGGTGGATAATGAAACTTTTGCGATAATTTTTTCTCCTTCAACCTTCAATGGGAAGAGTCTGATTACACTAACTTTGATAATTCAGGGCAATGCAGCATGGTGCAACCCTCACGACGTTCACAAAAGCCTCAATTTCGGCAAACCGTGTCTGCAGATGTTGAGAACAGTAGCTGAAGACGGATTTGCTACAGATCAAGAAATTCTCTATGGCTGCAAAGATTGTCTTTTCTCCAACATATTTGTACCCTCCAACATCTTAAATATAAACACGTCTGGTACTGGGGGTGAGTACCTTGCCGAAGATCAATAGTCCGCTCGGATTAATCACGTAATTATCATCCATAATTATTATCTAGGGCGAGCAAATTAGTGAGATAAATTGTTTCATAATTTGAATTTCTGTCACGGCGGAATTTAAAAACACAGGAAATCGAAACCAAAAACTATTACCGAAATCTCAGAAATTTCTCAAAAACATTTTTTTTTGAAACCTCAACAATTTCATTATGTAGAAAAACAAAATTTACACAGAGGCGAAGCTACGCAAACACTAGCGAGTACACAATAAAAAACAGCTATATAAAGTGCAGAAGAAAAAGTAGAAACAAGCCTCGAGTTAGTGAAAATTAGGCTACGTATCGGATTCTATATCCGATCGATAGCGAAATAGAGACTATGAGTCTCATGCACTAACCCAACGCCTCCTCAAGGTGAAAACGGCTACAGGAAACTGGATGATACTTCCTATCCCTTCTATTCGACACTAATAATTAAAAAATGCAAAAGATTGCAGTTTTCTAAAATTTAATCGAAACTATCGATAACAGCTGCAAAAAAAAATGTTTTTTTTTTCTCCCATTTTGTCTTTTGTCATTCCACCGTTGGAACAGCAGAATTTACCGTTGGAAAAATGTTTTCCGCCCGTTTATATCCGACTTCAAATATTAGCGTGGAATATAATCTTTTGACTAGTTTCGCTTCTTAAATACGCCCTGCTATATTAAACATAAAAAATGACAAGTATTAAAAAGAATAGCCGGTTGCTGGGCTAGTAGAACAGAACATTGCGTCCACATTCATTTTTTTTTCAAATGAGTTTCACGTTTCTTAAGCGTGTTTTGATGAAAGAACTATACGAACGCGTAGAAAGTAGTTATGATCGGCAATAGCTGTCTTGGAAGAACAAATAACAAACAAAATGTTCAAAACATTTTAACTTTTAAAAAATTTTGTTTATATATTCTAATCTATTTATTTATTTTCATCACCAACGAAGCGCTAAAAGAAGCTTCCAAAACAAAATTACCTGAGTTCAACTAAATTTTTCACTGCTTGAAAGAAAAGTTTTTTTTATAAATTAGACAAAGTTCTCGAGGTTAGACAAAAAAATCGAACCGATTTTCGTCGACTAATGGAAAGCTTTTGAACATTTAAAAAGTCCTTCGAATCATGAATTCAGGACTTTCAACTGATATATTACTCCTCAAAATCAGATGATAATTTTTTTGGGACACACATTTGCTTTTAAAAAAAAAAAAAGACTCAAACCTACGATCAGGAGATTAGTAGCCGCACAATCTGGCATCTGTGCCACAGGCCCTTGAACTTAAGCCACCATTAAAGCAGCTACATATGTTACAAAAATGCCACTGCAATGCAGCAAAAGTCGGGCCAAGTATGAATAGACACAAGCTCTACCAGTAATAACTTGGAATACAATGGCATCCACACTAACTTGGCATGTAAAAAATTGAGAGCAAGAAGCCAAATTTTATAGAAATTATGCGTTTCAGTTTAATAAAACACATCGTCAGCTGAAATTTTGAGTCTACTACAATACCTTGGGAAGTAACAGCCCTCAAAACCACGAAAAGCCTGCTTCTAGTTCGTAGCCTTTGGTATTACTCTTTGGCTATTTTTAGGAAAGCCAATTTTGACCTCTATAAGGCCAACATATATTTATTTTGAAACGCACGCCAAAAAACACTAAAAGCCTGTAAAAAAAGTTCAAAAACGGCATTTCTCCCATGCTACAGTGAAATTTTCAAATAAGGAACACTTTTAATGAACACTTTTATTTGTGTGTTAGGTTAAAAAAAGAAGGTTCGTAACAATGCGTTAAGCTAACGCTAGTGTAAGTACTGTTTGAAACAAATATCTTTTGTCGGTTCATTTGATGATTTAAAAATGCATCAACTGTGACGAATTGTTACTAATCGAATGTCAAAGCGCATGCTATTAAAAAGCAGTAAAAAAGTCTCCAAAATGGTGCCAAAATTTTGGACGTGGGAAAAAAATTAAAAAGCCACAGTTTTACACTGCGCTTGCTAAAGCTTGCATGTGTGAAAAAAACCCTACCCATTTTCAGTGGTCGAACCAGTAACCAATCCGATACAAACTTTCAGAGAAAAAGTACGTCATCTTAAATCGCTTTGGAAGCCAATAATATCATTTATGATTGACACTTTTTTTGATGAAACTAACCCAATTATGAAAACTCAATCAATAAGTCTTTAGGTTTTTTAATTGAGCTGAGATTTCTAAATACTTGAATCCCTTTGCATTTTTTTCCGCGTTAAACGTATCTTCATTGCCGAATAGCGTAATGTGCCTTCCAGTTACAATTTGAAATGAACTTGAAAAAAAACGAGAGGTAAGCAGTCAAACAGAGGCAAAGCTGCACTTCGTAAACTCAAGCAAGAAAAGTGCAAATTTAGCTCTTAAAGAGTTAAAAAAGAAGAGAAAAGAGAAACTAATAAAAAAAGTGCTACGGACCGGAATCTAACCCCGAGCTGTAGATAAAAACTCCCACGTCCTAGAATCTGCGCCATGACCGCTCAAAAATAATTCAGCAATAGGGGCCCAACTAGAGCCACCCATAAACCAGATACAAAAATACAGTCCTGAGGAGCAAAAATTAATCAGATAAATAATGCTAAGGTTCCAACTAAATAATGAGCATTTTTATTAGCGAATTAACAATGAAAAACACGGAAACCATAATATGACACTACGCTCCTTAAGAATAGCAAAAGAAAACATGAAAAAGTTAAAACCAGATGACTTCAAGCAAAAAACACATCGTCAGCAGAAATTTTGAGTCTACTACAACACCCTGGGAAATAAAGTTCGCAGCCTTTGGTATTACTCTTTGCTATGTTTGAGAAATCCAATTTTGACCTGTATAAGGCCAACATATATTTATTGTGAAAAAACGCGCGCCAAAAAACACTTAAAGCCTGTAAAAAATTCAAAAACGGCATTTTCTCTTAAAAACCTCTACATTTTCTTGAAAAAAAGTTCCTGCACAGGCCACTGAAGGAACCTATTACGAAGATGCAATTAACAGATTCAATCTTTGTAGAAAAATATTCTACAGAACCAATACATCTAACTAGGAAATGGGTTGCTGTGCAAATATAACACGAAGTTCTGACCACAAAAATTAAAAGCAACTACAGAAAATTTCATTTTTTCGAACTCGGTCGTATTTTTTACTAATCGTGCTTTGATGAGAAAATTTGAATGAAAGCATATTCGATATTAATAAAACAATTGATATATTCGGAAAAATACTTTGCTCAAAAAATGGGTAGAAAAAAGTTAAAACACACCCGAAGACAAAGTTGCTCCCCGCTTTCAGTAGTCTGAACAAAAAGGAATAGTTTTCTTTGCGATAAAAACTATAGCTTTGCAAAATCTAAAACTTAGTTTCTCGTCTATTCTTAGAAAATAGGCCCGAAACCAAGCAACATTTTGATCCTATTTTCCTTGTCTACAATTTGTCCAAGTTCTTTGGCAATAAGGAACAGTTTGCTAGTACTCGGAAGAAAACCATCGCCACTCCCACATAAAATATAGACATTTTGAACATATAAACATTTTGAAAGAAGAAAATATAATCATTTTGAAAGAAGAAAAGAAAAAGGATAGACGGATGCTGCGCAGGTAGCACTAATGTTCCGACCAAATTCTCAAAACTACAAAAAAATTCTTTTTGTTCATATAAGTGTCGTTTTTTTTTGTGTGTGATGAGGGAAAAAACGATCTGAACGTAAGTCTTAAGAACGAATTAAGGAATATTCGACAGTTAGAGTAAAATAGAAATGGACAACAGTTTTTGTCAAAAATTGACTAAAAAAAAACAAAACAAAAAATAACTATAAAATTTTTTTCATTTTTTTGCAGATATTTTTAAGAGTTTTTCTTATTCTCAAACTGTCGCTAAATAATTTTCGAAAACTAATTTCTCCGGAGTAAAACTAAATTTTTAGAACTTAGAACAAAACGACACTGGCAAAACATTTTTGAAAATTTTTAATGTTTGAATCACGTCTGAAAGGGGTTCAATATAATATATCGAATCGACTCAATCCGAACATTTTTTGTTGTACCTGATTTTTGGTGGAAAACAAAAAGTAAATAAAATACTAAAACATCCGATTACAAAGTCGGAACAAATACGTAAATGGTCGGAACAAAAATCCTACTTAAGCTACTCTAAATTTAGTTTCATGAAATCCAGAATGGGAGACCTAATTCCTTTTGCTCTTTCATTTTCAAGCAACGTTTTCAAGCTATATTCTCCTTCGTAAACTTTTTGGAACAGGGTTCCGTCTAAGTTTTTTGACCGCGCGAAGACCTCTGAGGGGAATGCGGGCCCTAACACTGAAAGTATGCAGGACACAGTTTGTACGCCACAGTCGAACAAAGTGCACAAATGGATTGCATCGTAGTTAGGACAACGATAGAACTCGGAACTATCTGAATAGTAACCCAAATCCAATACTATAAACATCCTTACAAACATGTCAATCACTGTTAGGTTTATCGTTTGTTCGATCTTGTGCAAAAAGTATAAGACGAGAGTCGGGATAATATAATCGGGCTTTATTTTTTGCAGCAATTTTTCTGCGTCTGTGAAGAACTGTGAACTGAATCTTTCACTTCCTGTTAAGGCCCAAAGTAACGTTTTCACTCTCAAAGACCTGGAAAACATATCTGTAGAAGTAAAGAGTAGTAATAAGTCCAACTCGAAAGGGGGGAAGACTACAGGAATCTTAGTACACTGCATGACCGAATTCTCTGAATATACTGCAAACTCATCGATAGTTTTCCTTTTTGGATTCGTCTCCTCATGTTTGAGAAGTATGCCACAGTATCGTGAAACTGCTTCTCGGTATATCACGGCAGTCGGCTTCAGTCCAGAGTTGAGATCTTCGAATGCATTGCGGAAACACATGGAATATTGCAGCAAGACCTGTAAAGTCAGTGGCGCAATATTCCAGCTTGACATCAAAAGATGAATTAACTCAGGTGAACCACCATTATACTTAGATTTGTTTTTCTCATTCACTCGAGCGTTGTCCAAAAGGTAAGTTTGCAAAGATATCTTGATGGAATTGTAGGTTTGTTGAGTTCGGTTACATCCGAACACCTCCATGTTCAAAATTTCACTTACTTCATCCACGGACATTCCCTTTTTCAAATTTTTTTTGATAACTGCCGTTACAGCTGTGATGAGTACTTGGAATCTAGGATATCCTCGCCCCTTCCAGTGGGTAATGCGAAGATGGAACCACTTGAGCTGTTCTTTCAGCAGAAGGTCATTTCCCAGCAGAGTGGCCAATGCTGGCAGCCAACATTGGTCTAGATCGTGCAATTCTGCCAGACGCACACTGCTATATGCCTTAGTGGTGAGTGCAGTCACATCCAAGTGATATGCGGAGAGATTGTACCCGGCCGCATTGAATATGACAAAGTCACTATCTTGTGATAAAATAGCAACTACGTTCGAATTTTGCTTGGCAAACAGAGCTATTTCTTCGTCACATTCCTCCAAGCTGACTATAACTTTGCAGTTGCACACCTCGGACAGAACATATCTCTCGAACATGTCGATTCCGCACGGGGAGATTACATAATCAGCCTGGTCTCCTTTGTATTTGCCATTCCAAATTTGAGTCATCAACTCCTGATAAAAGTAGTATGTTTGAACTTTTCGCTGGATCCACTCATTCCGTTTCTGAATTAAAGAAGGTCCATCAAAAAAGAAAATGGGCTCAACTCCTATATTTCTGAAGGACTTCACGAAGCCGACAATTATTCTCTCGTAGGCAGCATACTGATATCCGCAAATTCCATTAATGCCTCCCTCTCTATACACATTAGGAAATGTACAACTAGAGTCGACCACAATCCAAGGTGGGCGCGTTTCTGCAGCATGAACAGTTTGTTTGAACTGCTTGACTACTTCTTTGATGTCTACCGGAAAGAACGCTCCGCTTCCGCCACAGCCCTTCTCCAAGTAAGACTGCAGTCCTTTCACTCCCATTTACACAAATTAACCTGAAGTTAAACGCTCAGAGCAAAAAAGTCCCAACTATTAGAATGGACTTCGATTTGAAATGATTTTGATCTCTACCTGTATTTTGATTGTTTCAAACAAATTAACTTGCTTGCAGAGTTGACCTCTACAATTTTGTGAGCTGGACGCTCGAACAAGTAATGTTTCATTACAGGATAATAAATATCGATTCACGGAATGCTTTAACAATAGTTATTACTATAAATTTTTTAAAAAAACACATCACGGCTTTGAATGCTCGTGATCGTCAGATCATGTATTCGATCCCCTGCCATGGCAAAAATAGTGTGTGAGAACGAGCTCTCACGTGACCTCTAGCTCCATGTCTACCACAGCCTGACCGATTATGGCTGCAATAGTGGTACCACGTGAAAATTCTAGACGCAAAAAACGCCCTTGAGTCGCAAACGCTTCGCTTAACAAAATAACTCCGGAATGTGAGGAAATAAGAAAAACGGACTATGCTTAACGTCTCAAAGAAAAAACTCAGTCTGGAATGTGGGGAAATAAGAGAAACAGACTATGCTAAGACAGGATGGATAGCTTTTCGTAGACCCTCTGCGAATCGCAGAAACAACGATTAAAGAGAAGATTTAATACAAAAAGGTAAGCAAATACGGAGGCCATATAATAAAGCCGTTTATAACTGGATTCCACTTGAGAAATAGACAAAATCATGCTGTTGCTCAATTTGCCACACATCCGGTCCAGTAATGATAAAACTCTAATGGAACAATGTTAAGTATGGTCTAGTGCAAAAAGGCATCAAAAACCTGTTTTTGTTAGCACTTTAGCGTGAGATCTTTTATAAAAAAAGACTTTGATTTGAAGAACACGCAGATGCTATAAATCACGTAGCTTCATTTTTAAACAAATGATCGGAAAAAACTACTGTTTCATTGAACCATGCATTGAACGAAAAACTTAGTCGCAGTGTAAGCCACGGTGGTAAATGAACACTGTTAAAACAAAAAACATATTTTATAGCCGCCTTTTGATTTTCTTCACTTTCCATACGTCATTCCTGTCGTTCAGAACTATCATTTTTTAGCTCAGTTGGGATCAAAGGAAACGAGAGCAAGTGCAACACCAACTAACGCTCACTTTTGAAGTAATTTAAATTTAAACAAATGAAATTAGTTTTTAGCGGTAAGCAGTTTAACGAAAAAAAAAAACGATTCCAGAAAGAGTTTTTGTCTTGTTTTGAAACATGTTTTAAAACACTCCAAACCCGGGTTAACTTTACAAAAAGTCCAGCAAATTTAAGCAAACAAAGAACAAGCTATGCGCGCTACGGTAATGCTACACAATCTAAGAGCTGTACAGATATGAATAAAACATTGTAGCTCGACATGAAGAGCACCAGCTTGAGCGGAAAAAAACTTTTAATATAGCAAATTTTGAAATTTTTTTCTAATATTTTGAAGTTAAATGAAAATCTGATATTTTTTGAAAAGCCAAAGAGGATCTTGAATGCAATGTTCAAAAAAATATATGTCTATTGGAAGATATCTGTAGAAAAATCCGAATCAACTATATTAGCTTTTATGATAAATTCTAATTTGGGTAAAGGTTTTGATCGTCCTTGATCATAGTCGGCGTTTCTTTTGTGTGTCCCCTTTTTGAGATGCCGGCTGGAAGATTTTAATTTCGAATCTTCGAGTAGTGTGGCGCATTAAATTTACTTACAGAATTTTGTTTCGAGGCTTTTTATCGTTACTCTCGCTTTCTCTAAGTAGAGCCCAGTTTAGCTTGTTTTTGGGAGTTTTTTCTTAAATTTTGGTTCAAAAAACATTAAAACGTTCGGAGAAGCTTGCTAAAATGAGTAACAGCGGTCCAGTTTTGGATTTGCTAGGACCAGCGTTGTGTCAGGATCAGATATTGAAATTGTTTTCGGACTGGTTAAAAAAAATAAAACTACTTACTATGAAGAGTGAAACTATTTAAAACTATGATAGTGTTTTGGAGGAAGCCAAAAAAGAGGAAGTTTACCTTTGGTGATACTTGCTAAGACTACTAAAAACGGAATTGATTTAATTATGAAACCTTTCTTATACTTCTTGCAATTCTAAATATAATTTGTTCTGAGAATAACCAACTAATTATGATTTATCATGGTTAGGGTGGGAAAACTGTACAGACAAGCGGGTGAGGAAACTTTCTGTGAAGAGCATGTGCGGATTAGGTTTTCAGAATCAGACTCAATTTTGAACAAAGATTGTTGAGGTAATCTGTGCTATTCGTAATTACGAAGGGAGAAGGAGAAATAATTACATCAATATCTTCTGAAAAACCTATGTTTCCAATTTTCGCATAATATCGCCGTTTCAATTTTCATCGTCTTTTTTTAGTAATAGATTTGATAAAAGGTCATTTTCGCAAGTGAGCCATATCGCTGTAAGGCGGATTTTAAAACAATATATTTGAAGGGCAGGCTTGGTGAGTGCATCTTGGTTTCCTGATGTATGCGAAGGATTGTGGCATGAATCGATTGAGGTGGGGAGGTGAAGTAGAATAAAATTTTCATTTGAACAGAAAGAATCCGCTAGTTCTCCGCTTGCGTTGATTGATTATCTGCCAATCTCAGTTTGACCTACTTTACACGAAGCATTGATAAAAATCAAATGAGGAGATATTTTATAATATGGAGATCGTGAAATTCATTATATTTTCGAAACATTGAGTGTTTGTTTGAGTCTTATGCAGAATTAAAAATGGTCTATCCGGTTTAGTTATCAAGGGATTGTGGGTGAAAAGGAAAAGTAAAAAAATAGAAAAACTAATGCGCATTTTTGATTGATATTTTCACAAGGCTGTTAAGACGGACAGCTTTCTGCTCGAAAAATCCCTGTGGCATATAACAATAACATTAGAATTTTAGCACTACAATTATCGGCGATCCCTCTCCTCCCACATGCACCAGGAGTAAAGCAAATATGGTTCTCGTGTGTGCGTTTTGAGAGTAAAAGCGTCGTGCTAAACCGTGAATGATGAAAGAATCGTGCAGTGGATAAAAATAAAGAAGACAAAAAATATTCCAGATAATAATACCATATTTTTTTGGATATTTTTTTCGCAAAAAAAATGTGTTAAGAAGATCATCGAAAAACCATTAAATTTTGATAGAAATTGGTGGTTAGTCAGCTTTTTTCCGTTTATCTAGTTTGCATTTTTGTTTGATTCGTGCGAAGTTTTATCAAAACCATCGAAGATAACTTCTGCTGTAAGGATAGTTTTTGATAGTTTATGAAGGATTTGGTTTTATTCGAAAGCTAATTCGCTGAGCATTCAAAGAAATGATCTTTAATAATAACCGGTGCCTCAAGGGGCAATCAATTTTTCGAAAATGAGCAGATTATTTCAGATTTTTACGATGAAGGTCTGCTTGCTATACTAAGGAGATGCAATCCTTAATCACAAAAAAGATTGGCAAAATCCTGCAACTTTGTTAAAAGCCGAGATTGGGGGCATTCTTTCCAACGGTATTTTAGGATCGTATGAAACCGCAACATCACAAATTTCATGTTAGAATTTATTTCTTTTAACCTGAGGTTGTGGGCATTCTATTCAAAGGTCATATTCGACGAAATGAAACCGCAAGAGAACAATTAACTGTTTTTGCTAATTTATCGTGCAGCAGCTAGTCCTGTTAATTTGACAACAGCGCAGCGTTATATATAGGAATCCACTTGATATGTTAGCATTTTTAGTGTTCGTCAGATAATTTTAATTGCTTAAACAGCTATGGTATGGATAATGAAGTTTGAAATAGGAGTTGCCGAAGTTTAACCCGTATCCTAGGCCGTTAGTAGGATCAGAATGATAGTCATTGCTCCCTAGTTGTTTTGAAGTCTCGATTTGTGACTGTGCATATTGCACATTGTTCACAAATTAATGAGGTGATTCTTTCTTAAGTGCCAATTTTGGGCTGGAGGAGCCAACGAAACAGCAAAAACTAATTACTACTGCCCGGCCAGTTTGTCAGATGATCAGTACAAAGAAACTCTTAAGCTTTCAATAAAGATAAGATTAGCTTTAGTAGAAAAAATCATGATGTATCATGATTTGTTATACTTTTAGTCGAGGTTGGAGAGCGATCTTGTAGTCTTTTGTGAGATGAGTTCCGCTGCTGTACAGTTTGCAAAACAACAGATTTGTATTTCTACAGCCTGCCTAAATTTCTTCGACTGTTTCAAGTCGTTCTTGATCAGATGTTTCATTTGGCTCCTGGTCTTCAGATCCAGAAATATCTTCCTAAGTATCTTAATAGTAGTCAATATCATATTAGTCCGCCTGGTCATCTAAATTCATTGGTTAGTTTTTGTCTTCATCACCAGTGTAATAATTTCTATTTTCTGCAAAGCCGGGACCGATATTATTTGAACATAGGTCGGAGTTTTGAACGATCTCTGCATAGCCAAAATATGCTAAATTTGCAGAGATATGCGAAACTTGGTTGTCCTCATGGCAATTATTGGCATTCGCTTGAAGGGCTGAGATTGAACAATTTATCTTCTCGTTAATTTCGCTTCTATCAAATCGAATTTCCAGCAAGTAAAAGAGCAAAGGTCTTCCACAGTATTATTTCCGCGTTCTCGGAACAGAAATTTCTTGTGCTTGCTGGGCATTCCTCCAATGAGTTACTCTCGCCTGTTTTGCTCGTCTGCTCGGCTTATTCCTGCGTCGTTGTCATCTAATTTATCCAAACTTTCTAGCTCCAGTGCAGCCTGTTTCGGTTTTGAAAATTCCATTTTGCCTTTCAAAGTAATCTTTTCGGATTCAGTCAGGCCTGCATTCCGATTTCACAATTGCTCCTAAGCAACAGTGATGCTGGCTCGTGAAAGACCTTCGAGCTTCAATCTGTCTTCGTTAGATGCCGCAGTAAACGATTAATATTTTAGGATACAATCAACTTTTTCGCATAAGTTTTGTAAAGATTACGCATTTATAAGGTTTAAAAAGTGTTTCAACAAAATTGATTTTTTTGAAATTTTATTTTGGATATTGTTGCGAAGTTTGAAAGATAGAACAGTAGAAATAATGCACATTTTATGAAATCCACGTTTATATCTTATAAAGCTTTCTTAAAAACAATAATGCTCATAAATCAAAACGGAAAACATTCTAACAAGATGAAGGATAGTAATAACGCAGAAAAATTTTTGATTTAAGTTTTGTGTTGGGTTGAGAACTGTTCATAAGATATTCTTGTAGTTTCAATGTCCTAGGAGAAGACTTCAGTATGATATGGATTTAGTATAAGATTTAGTTCCAGCTTTATCGCCATATGATCATTTTGATTGTTCTGGTCGTCCTTGATCATTTTCGCCGTTCCTTTTCCGCTAAATTTCAAAATAACTGGTTCAAAATAACTGCATCCAGTTAAAAATTGTACATAAGTAGGGCATTTTATATTGGCCAGAACATAAACAGAGTTTTAGTTGCAGTAATCAAGTTCTAGCTGCAGTTACCGAGTTGTAGATACAAATACTGAGATCTAGTTGCAGATAGTTAATAAAGTCATCATCTGATTTCCAAAAACGAACGCATCGTTCCTGACAGTTATCTCTTAAAATGTGCAACACATTTCGGAATAATTCTACTCGATAGAAGATCCGTGTCAACATTTGCCAGAACATTGAATAGTTTAATCGCACGTACAGATAAAAGATTTTGTAAATAATACCTCATTGCAGTTTCGTTTTGAGATACTCAAGTCATGTCTCCTCTCCTAAAGAATCAAAAGCCTAATATTTTTCAAAGAAAATGTTAACTGATTTACTACAATATTCAGATCTCAAGATTTCACTTGGAAGTAGTATAGAGCAACAAGAGGTCATGCCTATTTTCGGAGAGAGGTCAACCTGTCATAGTCGCGTGACTATATTACCCAATTAGCCTAATCTTTTTTTTCTAGAGGGGCGTAATAAAGATTTTATCAGATTAATTTTTTCACTTGAGTTAATTTTTGGGGGTATATGACCGGACTCATTGGGGTCATTTTGTTCAATTGTTATTAAATTGAATAGCTTTTTGACATCGCTGAGGGGGAATGAAATCTTATCAGATAATTTTTTTCACTTGAAGTAATTTATCGTAATTGATTTGGGCCTGAAGATTATCAGTTTATCGGGAATGGAACTGAAGTACCTTAATCTATTTTTCCGGGTTAATTGTTTTCAAAGATAAATCCCTAAATCCCCTGAAAAGTAATTATCCTTGATTAAACATCTTTCTATAATCTATTGAAATTTAAAATGTTCAGCTTCATTGTTTTCCTAAACTTATATTTAGCCAAGAAAAGAAATTCAATACAATGAATCAATGGAAGTTTTTCTTGATCAATCCACATCGCAGGTCAGGTTCAGTTTTATTAATTCTCGTTGTTGCTTTTCTAGCAGTTCCTAACAATTTCCGGTCTCAAAACTTAGAAACAAAAATTTGAATCTCTCATATTCACTTCTTTTGCTTGAATTCGATCTGATTTGATTATATTCCAAATCAAATTCTTCGGCTACTCTTTTTGATTTAACCTTAATATTTGATCAATCAAAAAAACTTCAATTTTTTTCCCCTCAGCGCTCCTCATCGAATGTTTTTCAAGCAATATTTAATTAAAATTTGGATCCTAAAGTTTTCGAAAAAAAATCACTTGAGCCTTTGAGTTCTCAAATTTCCAAATCTGCTTCGATGAAATAGTTGAAAACCTCACAATCCATTCCATAAAAGAAATCAATTAAATCATTCAATTAGAGCAATCATAATCTATTTTTCCCACTCTGCTCTCCAAAGAATTTTCCTTGGAGTTGTACTATCTTAAGTTTTCCACAACTCGCTTTCCAATAAAGTGAAAACCCTGTTAGTCTTTTCTCAAAATTGGTTGCTTAAGTTATCAATCGATCCTGCCTCCAACATCCAATATCTCACTAAAACTTCAAACCCTCTTGCTTGTTCGTCCATTTCTCAACTTTTCAGTGATTGTCATCTTTTCATCCAGTGAAATTTCCTTCAGTAGGAAAAAAATTTCAACCTTAAATGACAAAAAATGAAAGAAATCTTGGAATTTTCCGTTTTTTACATGTGTTTTTTTTCTCACAACTCAAAAAAAAATCATTTGAGAGTTTTCAGTTTTTTTTATATAAACATGTTTTCTGATATCTTTTTCTTAAATTTTAGAATTTTCTTTTTAAATTTTTTTTCTGATATCTTTGAGTTAAATTATTTCCGATGTAAGAATGTCAATTTCGAGAGAAGTGAAGAAAGCTATTTGACAAATTATTGCTTCACAAATTATCATTTTCATTGATTTTTATAGTCATTTTAACCCTTTGTCTAAAATCATCTCAAAGAGAATGCTTGATTAATTCCCAACCGTCAATACATTGGAGTAAAAGGAAGTAATAAATAGTATATAATTTTTCATTACAAAGATAAAAGTCTTCTGACAAATTATATCCTGGGGGAAAAAGAAAGGATTAAACAGGATGTAAAAGATAAGGTTAAAAATGATGAAAGTTTTAGTAGGAGCTAAAAAAACGTTTTCTCAAATTTTGAAATTTTCTGGGTTTTACATAGACTTTTTTCTGATATCTTAAAATGGAATAATTTTGGAATTTTCATTTTTTTATGTATTTTTTTCTGATGTCTTTAAATAAAATTCTCAGTTTTTGGATTTTTCTGTTTTTTTTTAATAATTAATCTGATATCTTTTTCTCAAATTTTGGATTTTTCTGTTTTTTTACATATATTTTTTTCTGATATCTCAAAAAAAATTATTTGAGAATTTTCTGTTTTTTTTTATATTTACATGTTTTCTGATATCTTTTTCTCAAACTTGGGAATTTTCTTTTTTTAATAACTTTTTTTTCTGATATCTTTGAGTTAAATTATTTCCGACGTAAGAATGTCAATTTTGAGAAGATGTTAAGAAAGTTATTTGATAAATTATTGTTTCAAAAATTTTCATTGATTTTTATAATCAATTCAACCCTTTGTCTTTAATCATCTCAAAGAGAATGCTTGATTAATTCCCACCCGTCAAGATATTGAGGTATAAGAAACTAACAAATAGCATATAATTTTTTATTACAAAGATGAAAGTCTTCTGACAAATTACATCCTGGGGGAAAAAGAAAGGATTAAACAGGATATAACAGATAAGGTTAAAAGGGATGAAAATTTTAGTAGTAGCTGATAAATCGGTCACTCAACTCTTTCGGTCACTGAACTCGATTTTCACTCTGATCAGCTCCTATTATACTACTAATATATGAGTATTTAATTGTAAAATAAAAAGTGAAGCGTCATTTTTTTCAGCTCACAAAACAATTTTCGATTTATTGTTTGTACTTCTTGTGAGAGAGAAAAATTTCCAATCTGTTTGCTGAATTTAACTTAGAAGAGTAGAACATATTGTCAGCAGTTTTTCTAAGTGTTTTTTTTTTTAAATTTTCCGTAAGCGCAAAAACTACTGGGAATTAAGCGATTTTTATGAAGAAAAATTGCTCTAATTTCACTGCGAAGCTTTTGATTTATTTTTTGTTTTCTTCTGAAGACCAGAAAATGGTTGGGCTTCAGAACATAGGGTGGCATTCAAGTCATTGATAGGAAAAGAAAAAATTCCCTGAACCCTTCAGTAGGAAAAAAATTTCAACCTTAAATGACAAAAAATAAAGGAAATCTTACTGTATGAAAAGACTACAATCACTGAAAAGTTGAGAGATGGACGAACAAGCAAGAGGGTTTGAAGTTTGAGTGAGATATTGGATGTTGAAGGCAAGGGTCTGAAAAAATTAATCTGATAAGATCTTTGTTACGCCCCCCGAGAAAAAAAAGATTAGGATAATTGAGTAACATAGTCACGCGACTTTGACAGGTTGACCTCTCTCCGAAAATAGGCATGACCTCTTGTTGCTCTATACTACTCTTGGAAGTTTTAGAACCTCATATACATGTAGCTCAAACACCTTTTTTCGTTTCGTCCTAAAGCTCTTACTTCTTCAAACTTTTTGCACCTAAAAATTATTCGTAACTTAAAGATTGAATGATATGTGGTTCTGTGGCATGTGATTGCATTTCAGTGATTGTGTATGTGCATGGAGGAGAAATGCGGCAAGGCAGTGGGCACCAGGAGGACATTGTTCCCCTATCTGCTATCGCTGCTCGATTTGTACAGGACATGGGAGTTCTGTTGGTAACATTCAACTACAGACTCATCCTACATCAATCTCAAGGCCCAATCAAACAAGCACATGACGGTAAACGAAGGAAAACAATATGTTCTCAATTCTTTTACCAGAACGTTAATGCACACAAAAACTGTTTTGAAATTGTGTAAGAAATCTTATCGTATCAAGACAAATCCCTCCATATACAGACAAAAAATGACGGAAATCTTACTGGATGAAAAGACTACAATCACTGAAAAGTATCTGTTTTTGACAAAAAGGAATTTTTTCAATAGATATTTTTTTATATCATCATCTGACGGACAACTAATGAGTTAAGTTAAGATCAATGAGCTCGCCTCGATTCAATTTGCAATGATTCAGAGCCAGATTAAATCTGCCTACGCCAAAAGAAAAATCGAAACACTTCTCGTCATTTAAATTGATATAGAAAATCCGTTTAAACTCTACAAGGCAAAAAAATTCTGGAGGATCATTATCTGCTCATACTACAGTACTGATTTAAATAATCCGGAAAAAAGGAACACGTTTTTCTCAAACTGGGTTAAGATTAGACAAAAAGTGAAGAGAACAAAAGTTGCTTAGAATTTCATCAGAATTATTATAATGCAATTTTTTCTCCAAAATTACACTGAAACTACTTTGTTAATTGATGATAAATATATATCAAAAGAAGCCTCTTACACAGCGCAACAAAATTCTAGAAGGGAAAAATCTCCAAAAACCTGTATAAGAGAAAATATTTTTGCTTGATAGTCAAAAAATGTGATTTTAACTTTATAAAACCTAAAATCTTTGCTAAAAAATAATTTTAAACAATTTACTCAAACTTTTGGAAATTTGGTAACCTTTCGGGAACTTTGTTGGGCTGTGTAAGAGGCTTCTTGTGATATATTTCTCATCATTTAACAGGTAGTTTCAGCGTTATTTTTGATTAATTGAAAAAAGCCAAAATGACCCATTTTTGGTGTAAAATTTTAGTTGAGAATTTCGGGGAAAAATTGCATTATAATAATTCTGATGAAATTTTAAGCAACTTTTGCTCTCTTCACTTTTTGTCTAATGTTAACCCAAATTGAGAAAAACGCGTTTCAAAATTCAAGTTTTGTTCGTTTTGTCCGGATAATTTGCGAATTTTTTATCCAAACGGTACGTCAATTAGAGAAATATTGTACAGTTGATCTTGCAATGAACTCAATGAATATGCTTTATAAATCTGTATGCGGGTTTTCTACCGATAGCTTAAAACTTTCTGGAACAACAAACATCAACAGCACATTGGTATAAAAACGATTACCCCTACCTTTTCCGGGACCAGCATTGTACATTGGTATAAAAACGATTACCACTACCTTTTCCGGGTTGAGCATGCACTTCTGCAGTTATTAGAGCATTTTCATGATTGATAACTTTTTGGTAAATTTAAGCCAACTTGAGAAAACTGGATCAACAGAAATTTCTTTATTCCGCTGGGAAATCTGAACACTAAAATCAAACATCGAAACTTGAAGTTATCTCGTTTTTCGTAAATTTACACTTTTGCTGGTCGATATTGGATGGATTCTGTCTTTTTTAACAAAAGAAATAAATGAAAATATTTTTAAAAATCAAAAAACGATGTGCGAAAAATCAAGAAGGAGCGTAAGCAAACTTTACAAACTTTTCGCAAAAAATAAAAAACTGAAAAAAAACATCATGATTTATGTTTGTTTCTTCACTACAATTCTAAACACTAGAAAAAAAAAATAAAACTTACTATACTGGAAAAAAAATTGACACTTCGACACTCCTCTTACTACTACAAATGTCCGAATCGAACCAAACCAAGGCCCCTGTGTCATCAAACAAAAATCATGTAATAGTCTGATCCGTCAATCTCACTACAGCGTATGGTGCCACTGCTGCGGCTGGATCCATTTGAATTTGCAGCAGCCATAGCTCTAATAATCACCAACACCACAGACACTTCTACTGTCCAAAGTAATACAACTACAAAATACTACCCAAATACGCCTTATCACTTTCCACTCAACACCAGTCATCGACTCATCACTTACTCACTCACTCATAATAGAACTCAAGTACAAAAGACCAACTACACCCAAGAACTTCAATTCACCGAACCCCTTCACTCAACACCCATAACTGACACAACGACTCGATATGTCGAGAAAACGTCAACGTAACTCTATCATACCCCACGACTTCTCAAAGAATTTTCGCTCATTGCAATGGAACTGCAACGGCATCGGTGGTATGGCACATGCGCTTGCCATTTATTTAGAAACCAAGAAAATCTACATTGCTGCTCTATAAGAAACTAAGCTCAATCGCAACAGCAACACTCCTTTCCCTGGTAACTATAATATTGTCCGCAAAGACCGAGAAAATTAAGGGGTAGGACTCCTCTTTGCAATAGCTTACGATATCCCCTACTCAAACTACACTCTCGCACTCCCATTTCCCTTTAGAATTCCAGACAATAAACATCATCACTCAAGATGGAAAAACCTGACATCTCTTTCGCATCACAGACTCGCCCTGTCCTTCCATTGGGCTCCTAAACAACCCTAAGCTCAGACCACCTTCCCAACTTCACCTCAACCGACTCTAGCCCTCCCACCCAGCTCACCCCTAACGAATTTTCCATAAACTTCAATTAAGCGGACTTGGATAGCTTCGCAACTGAAGAAGACGAGATACCCTCTTAAAGAGGACCTTATCGATGTTTACAACCATCCAATCAGCCAAGCATCATATCCCCTGCGGCAACCGCAAATTCTTTAAAGCCTGCATTACAGACGAGGCGAAAAATTCAAGCAAACAACGCAACAAAACTAGTCTCACTGAACCTGTCGACCCTAACAATGCCCTTTACAAAAAATATCACAATTGGCAATTTTAACAAGTTGGTGACCGACCAACCACAGAAGCAAGGATCACAAATAATGGCGACTAGTTCGCACCTTGAATGGTTCACGCCCCAAAGACTCAAACTTCCACATACTTTTCAATTCCAAGTCCCTCACTAAACCCTACTCAAAAGCGAATACGTTTAACGTTCAACTCTCCCGAGTTCACACCCATAAAACCTCCAGACAGAATAGTAAGATGAAGAGAAACGCTAAACGAATCTCCTTATTAGATGCGCTTGTTTGACACTGAAGAAGTGGAGAACAGCATAAAGGCGCGTCCATCTCGAGCTTTCGGTCCCGATGTAAATAAACTAAATTGTTTAAAATATCTCAAGGAAACTGCCCTCGACTACCTCACTCAAGTCATAAATCTTGGTTTGCCCGCTTCGCAAATCCTTTTGATTTGGAAAACAGCCACCATACTTCCCCTCGTCAAAACCCTGAAAGACCCCCATTCTGTCTGCATCCTTTCGCCCTATGCCCTTACTCAGCCCCCTTATCAAAATTAATGAAGCACTCCTCATTCATCTCCTGAAACACAAGTCATACATTACGGCTTCCGCTACTGCACTTCATCAACATTGTCTTAACCTCCCTAGACAATTCGATTGCGCATGATTTCAATAAAAACAGACATACTAAAAGTCCAGTTCTTGTAGTATTAGATCTATCAAAAGCCTTCAATTTCAGGTACCACCACTTGTTTTGATAAACTGACTAACTTCTCGCTACCCGAACCTATCAGCCGCTGGAGAAGCAACTGCCTAAGCTGTAGACAGGCCAGAACCCTACTCAAAATCCATCACTCCAAAGCGAGAATGGTCTGCAGCGGAGTCCCTCAAGGCTCAGTTATATCACCAACACTGGTCGACAACTATGTCTGCGAGACCTCCCCTCCAATTCAAAAATATCCATTATAACTTACACGGACGACTTCAATGTCTACACCCAAGGCACCAGTATCAAAACTGTATCTTCTTTTCTCTCCGCTTACCTAGACTCAACCCACACCTTCTTGGACAGTCTCAACATAAAACTCTTCCCTCCAAATGCTTAGTTCTCAGCCTAGTGCAACAAAGCAATCAATTGCACCAGAGTTCTCACCCAGAGTGTATTCTTCCATACTTTTACTGAGGGGGTCTCAAACACCAGGATTTGACTCTCAAACGGGTGGCAAGTTGCCTAACCACTGACCTTACGAGTCCAAGCCATCTTTCGCGCATAGTGCACAGTAAATGACATCATTTAGCACAGGGCATAACATGCCGTGTGTCACCCTCGTGCGCAACTTCAAAAAACCCATTGGCATTGGGATATTGACAATGAGCTGTAGAACACAGTCGGCCAAAATCTTGTCTGTTCAGACATAAACAGGTAATGCTTTAGACATACCCAGGTATGAATACCAGTGGCTTCCAAGACCGATCTGGCAGCTGGTCAACTACCGTCAACCGTGCAGCGTCATGCAAGAATGTCAACATACCACCCAAAGGATCGAACTGTTAGTCTTCAAGCACTATTGGCTGCGGGGCTACGAGTGCGATCCTTAGCGGTATACAGACTTCGGTCCTAGACTCCGGTCAGTTAGTGACGTATACGATGCCCGGGACCCACCACGCGGAGGTGATTGTTCGTGTTCTTTCTGGGTCGTTAAATGCTTAGTAACTCTTTTCTCACCTTACTCAAAAGATAACAAAACTCAACCGCAAATCAAAATCTAGAGCACTCTGCTCCCACTGTTGACAAAAATCGATCACTTACTTATTGAATGCCTTACCTTTCCCGTAAAGACCACAAGAAGCTCTCTCTTCTCAAAACTCAAGTTACCCCCGAAGAGCAATACTCGATACTACTAGCCCCCCAAACAGATAGAACCCTCTTTCAAAAGTCACAGTGCGGGTTTCCTGACTGACTTGATTGACCCCAACGAGTACATCGACAAAGGAGCCAAACTCCGTATACAAAAATATTCTACACACGAGTGGTTTTCAACTACATCGAAACTGTTGACGTACATAAAGAACCATTCGAAAACACCTACTCACCTCCTCAACTGAAAAGCCACTCGAAAGGTCCGATCCAGCCGAGCGCAACTACGCTCTACTACTTCCCTCTTATTTTACTGCTAGGTCGACAGACACAATCCAAGTGTCCCCAGCGAATGCCCAAGGTGCTTGAACAACCCACACGATACTAACCATCTCTTTCAAAGTCCCCAAAACTCTATTACACTCTCTACACTCTTCTCTGGTCCAACCCTGTCGAGGCATCTGCCTTCCTCAATTTGGATCAGCCTTCAAGTACCTCAGTTGAGCTCGCTCCTGATGATGACTCAACACTGGCTCAGAGCTTGTTATGAAACAAAGCCATTCCTTTGTCTATTGTTCCGCAGATACGGTATAGACGAATATAGATAACCCAACCACAGCTTTGCTAGCATCTGCCCATTTGACGAGTCGGGAGCCACCACCAGAATCACTAGAAGTCTCAGGTAATGGAATCGGGGGACCCCCTTCTACCCAGAGACACCCCAGTGGGAGCCAAAGTGTGAGACTTGGAAGAGGCGAAAAAACACCCTTCCACTGGAAGCGTTAAAAACAACCTAAATTAAAACATTAACCTTATTTCAAGAAGTACTGAACTAACGCACTAACCATTCCAAACGGCAGCGAAGACATTTATAACAATAACTGACCAAAATGACGAAACTTTATTCGCTTCCCTTGACGAGGCAACTACTACAACATCATGCAATTAAGCCAATATAACAATAGTCGGAAACCTTTTTAGTCAAAAAAATGTTCAAGGGAAAAAATAAAGTGAAAAACTATATATTATAGTTCATAAATTACCTTAAAAGACAAAAGTCTTTTATAAGTATAATTTTAATAACAGTGGCGAAGCAGAGCAAAAAATGTAAGTACTACAGAAAAAGGTCCTTGAACTCAATACATTTAGAGCCTCAAGCAGAAGCTTTACCTTGACAAAAAATACGCAGCTTCGAATTGGGCTTTCATAAATAAGCAAGATCATTTTCTTGGAGAATTCCCCGAAAAGTAGTTTTTGGAAAAAAAAACTCTACAGAGTGCTTCCAAAACATGTTTTTAAATAAATTATCTCATCCCGCAAAAATTTGTGATTGAAGCGACTCATTTTGCAGTTGGCAGCAAAACTTGTTGAATTCAGATGAGATATTTCATTCAGTTCGTTTGTTTCTTGCTCACGCATGTTTTTCCGTGTTTATCGAAATTTCACTGCACTTTGAGCTGAACATGCTTCTATAGCACTGATAAAAGAATCGGATAAAATGAACTAAAACTAAACTTTCCAATTAGTTTCAATCACTTCGGTTAAGTTTGGACAGAAAATGGCGGGGAGAAAATTTTTCAGTATTTTTACCAGCATTTCTCTGATTCAAGGGAAATTTCGAACCAAAGTTTTGCCCTTAAAATGGGTCGATTTATTTGGTTCAAAATTGGGGAGGTAAACTGGGCCGACAGTATTGATGCTTCCATCAATTGACTCAGTTTACCTCCTTAATTTTCAACCAAATGAACTGAACCATTTTAGGGATGTAATTTGGGTTCGAAATTTTGCTTCCACCAGGAAAATGCTAGTAAAATCCCAAAAAAAAATTGTAGCTTTTTTCATTAGGCATTTCGTTTCAAAAAATTTCAAACCGAAATTACGTCCTTAACATGGGTCAGTTCATTCAGTTCAAAAATAAGGAGGTAAACCGATTCAATTTATGAATCATTAGAATAACTACAGTTGACACAGTTTACCTCCTTATTTTTGAAACAAAAAATCTACCCATTTCAAGGATGTAATTTTGGTTGAAATTTCTCTTACACCAGAAAAATTCTGGTAAATCTTTAAAAATTTTGCTCCAGCGATTCTTTGTCAAACTTAACCGAATTTGAGAGAAACTAGTTCCAAAATTATTAGTTCATTTTATCCAGTTACTTTATATCAGTGCTACAGAGGCTTGTTCAGCTCGAAAAGCAGTGAAAAATCAATAAACCGGGAAAACATGCGTGAACAGAAAACTATCCAACTGAATGAAAGTTATCATCTCAATTCGGCAATTTCTTTTTCCTGCCTACTGCAATAAAAATAGCCTCAATAACTCAAACATTTATGAAATGACAGAGAATTCATTTTAAAAAAAAGTTTTGAAAACTCCCGGTAGTTCTCGATTACTAAAATCTTGTATGAAACCTGCTCTTGCAAGTAAAGAAACGCAGAAAAATGTTGCTTTGCTCAAAAAAATGCAGTGACCCGGCCAATTTTCTTTGAAGAACAAGAACGAGACAAGGGAGAACTCGTTATACTTGTAGCTAAACGGCAACGAAAGCAAAAAAGAACGGGTCTAAGACTGTATGTTTTTGAAAAGAGCAAAAAAAAACTTTCCTAGTTTTCACCGACAAGAAGATCTTAACCGGAGTTGAAATTTTGAAGCTACCCCTGTCGACTTAAATAATCTTCAAAAATTAACACTGTGCACTTCCCAATAACAAGTAAAAAACGCCAAAAAGAGCGCAAAAGCAAAAAAATGGCAGAAACAAATAAAAACTAACTTTAAACTTCATCACAAAAGCAAAACGGAATTTCGCGCCACTTGTAATACAATGAGATATGCTATGCAAAGCAAATTTAAAAAAAATTAACAATTTCTTTTTGGAAAACTTAAACATTTTTTTAAGTTTAAAAGGATATTCTTTACACAAAAGGAAGATATCAAGATCACATGCTAGTTACTTAACGCATAAAATCGGCTCAAAAACTTGCTCTGGGGAAAACTTCGACTGACAATATGAGTCGAGTCTTACAAGCTTGCTAGTGTAAACAACGAGGCTGCAAATTACAAACAAAGGCGAGAAAAGGGCAGCAAGTAGCTCTAAATGGTCCTCAAGTAGCTAATTATTCATGATATATTATTGTAATTTTCAGACATTATGGCAAAGCCTTACAGTCAGTATTTTGGTTACATATCAGTATTTAGACAACCGCGTATTCATACTCGTCAGTATTTAGACAAATACAGTATGAAGCAATCAGAATCGAGAAAGACATAAATAATCCAAAATAAATAATAATCATTTATTAATTTCTTCTTTGTCTCGACTCTGATTGGTTGAAACAGTATTTGTCTAAATACTGACCAGCCTGAATACGCGGTTGTCTAAATACTGATATGTAACCAAAATACTGACTGTAAGGAACTGCCATAATGCATAGTTTTAGAGGATTTCAAGAGAACGCAAAATCTGGCCATGACTTCAAGAGAACACGTTGTGAATTCTCTAAGGCATTAATAATTCATGAAAGCAAATTTGACAAACAGATTTTACATGTCTCGTTAGCTGACAGAAAATGAGACAAAATCCTCCAAATGGTAAAAGTAGTTGAGTAAGAAAATCAGATAACTGCCGTTTTGAAATTTTATACTTAGCGTGCTCGAGAAATGAATTTGGAGAAAACCAGACTTGAAACATATTTGCCATTGTTAAATTAGCTTTCAGGAAAAAATTATCTAGCGGTAATTAATTTCAGTTTTACTACATGAAAACTTCTGAACAGTCTCAACGCTTTGCAAACTAAGCCAATTAAAACGAAGCAGACACAAAATAGACCTACAATTGAATTTTTCCGCGAATAAACTTCAATAACAAGCGCACTGATATAAGATCCAAAGCTTACTGTGATAGCAGTGGTCCCGTAGTTCGGGAGTCCAGGAGTTTCATTCACATTTTCAAGAATTTGAGCATCTCAGCACGTGAAGGGAGTGCACATGCTGTCCATTCAGTCAAGTGATTTTGTTGAAGATGTTGTTAATAACTTACAAAAGTCGTTCAAAAAAGTCTTTATTCCGATTTGACAACAAATGCTAATCACAAGCATTAAAAACGGAATTTGAAATATACTGAAAATAACTTAAATACGCAGAAAAGCCTGTGCTTCGGTGACAGAGCCATCAAAAAATGGGACAAACGATAGGCTGACAAGATTAAACACACTGATTTTTTCAGTTCTATCTGGGAGTGGAGTTGCAGACCAGATTGAATTGCTGAGATGGGTGAACAAGATGATTCCTTATTTCGGGGGAAACAAAGATAACGTTACACTTTTGGTCCACGACCACAAAGATAGCCTCATACATCAAATCGAGGAGAAAGCAGGAGGCTCGCTTTTCACTAGGGTATGTTTTACAAAGAAAATATTTAAAGCAGCAAAAAACGAACAAAATAGAACTCCGGCAATGTTTTTTAGGCCATCGTACTTAGCCCAATTATAACTGAAACTTCTGATTATCCTATCTCAACCACATCCGATCGAACAGCTACAAGAGAACTTTCACGAACAAATGACCACGAACAGTTTGGTTCAAACTGCTCACAAGAGACCTGCGAATGGAAACCAAGAGGATCACTCGAATCACATGTGAGAAGTCGTAATAAATCATCACACGTTATTACTTTAGACATCTAAAATATTCAACAAATCATTGAACTTGAAGGCCGCAATCAATCAGTAAGCTTTTCCAATTTATTAGCCTTCTTGACACTCCTTAACAGCTCAATTACCATTTCCAGTGAACAAGTTTCAAATACCTACTTTTTTCAGTAATTTTTTCTGTGAAACTTTGTGCAAGACCAAAACAAAATTTTTGATTCGCGGACGCCCAAAAAACTATATTTTTAGGTCCGAGAATTATTCTCTAATTCTAGTAAATAGAGTTACTGTGAGGACTCGGCAATGCTTCAAAAATGCACAGTAAAGACAAAGATAGCTGGCAGCCGAGCAAGTATCACAGAAAACTCCTACCATTACCGTTTTACTTCAAAAAATTCAAAAACAATTAGATCAAATTCAAGTTTTTTGAAATGAAAAAGGTTTCATGTAGGTGAAAAACTACCGAATGAGAGATAACTATAGCTAAAACATAGTCAATCGAAGATTGGAAAACAAATGAACGCAAGTAAACAAAAAATCTTCTCCGAACTTCAAAGAAAAAAACTGCTGAAAAAAAATCTCGCCTCCGAACTTCAAAGAAAAAAAATAGACGCCCTTTAAGCTCTTTGAACTTCGAGAACAATTTATGATTGGCACTTTTTCGATAACATGAACCCAACTAGAGAAAACTGGATCAATAGGTAAAGTTTTTATTCCGCTGGGAAATCTTAAAAATAAACTCCACTTTCGAAACTTTCGTTCACGTTTTTTTGCGCCATTTCCACGTTCGAAAGGAGAATGCTATTTACGTCATTTTCAGCAGATGAATTTGAATTGAACTCAAAAAGTGCATATATACGTTAAAGCATTCATAAATGCATCAATATGCATGAATGCACATCTATAGTTATTAGAGATTTTTAAGACGTTTCATGAAAACAAAAATTAGCAAGACCTATATACGACTCTTCACTACGTTCATTACTTTTGATTAAAGTTGAACTTCCAGAAGAATTAAACTAATCATCATCAAAATTTGAGTTCAAGGTCATCCAATTTCGGTCTGAAAATCGAAAAATTCGGACCACTTTCTCAAAACTGAGGCGTTTTAATTTTTTTTTGGAATACGAATCAAGGCTGAGAATGCTTTGATATTATTTTACGCTTTAACTAAAACTAGCTTTCTATTAAGTAGTCAAAATCTGGCGGAAAAAACTCACACTACGACATAGTTTCTGTGGTCGTAACAAAAATCTACGACTTTTCAAAATAGTTCAAATTATTTATGTTTCAAAATTTACTTTTAAATCAAGATTTATAAATAACATTACTCACTATGTTCATTACTTTTTGAAAATCACAGGTGCAAAATCTTTTCGAACTTGAGCTCAGTACAACGATATCTTTCAGATGGTACAAACATAATTTGTCAAAAACGCTTAGTTAAACATTCAGAAGTTGACTGAATTAAAAAGCCACTCAAAGCATAAAAATTTGATCATTTTCTTCGAAAGTCGGAACAATAAATTAATAAAAATTTTCCCACCAGGATTCTGGGATTTTGGTGATAAGAAAGCTTCTGGCAAAAACTGTGTCAACCAGGTTAATTTTCCGACCTCGCAAAGCACTATAAAGACCCTATTTTGCCGAAAAAAACATGCGCTGCCGAAATAGACGATTTTGAGAACTTTTGGAATGTTTTTAAAAATATATATATTTTTTTTTTCGCGCGCGCTCCCGCCTCATATTTATTATAAATTGGCGACAAGGCACCTCGAAAAACTAGAGTTGTTGAACCAAGAAGGCAATAACGGAAAACAAAAGATAGTATCGAATGCGGCAAAATTTTGGGTGGCCAGGAGGTCCCCTGCCCTATATGCACCTCTAGGTCCACTTCTGTCGCAAACTTAAGTTTCGCAGATTTTTCTTAAGTTGGTTCCATTATTTTAGTCAGGTGATTGGTTTGAAGCTTCAATGTGTTCACCTGAGTCACAAAAAAGTCACAAACTGCTTCTGGCATCACCAGACTCTGAACTCCAATATAAAAATCAAAACAAAATCGACACACTTATTTGTAAGTAATATTCAATTTTAATTATAAGAATGACATGACATGCAAACTTGCATAAACTCAGAAACTCAACTACTTGTGCCCAGTAAAAGTTCAAGCACAGAGGCGAAGCTGAGCTTCGTACCATTTACGATATATACTTAGATGAAATTGATACTGGTAAAATCCTGAAAATCTAGAGAAAAAATTGAGGTATAGCTTTGATTCTGGAGGTATGAAAAACATATTCTGGAAAGCGAAACTTTGAAAGTTCACGAGCAACGAAGCAAAATTTCGATTTCAAAGGAGTTGTTTTTTAAAATATTTTTCAAGCGAGCTAACGCGCCAAAAGGTAAGCAAGCAACTTGTTCATTTTTTAAATATCGTTTGACAAAAGTTTAACACATTGTAAAAAAATCTGAAAAAAAGCCGAAATTAAAACAGATTTTTCAGTTTTTCAAATTTAGTTTGAGTTTTTGGTGGATTTGTACAAGCGGTTTTATATTGTTCAAATTATAAGGAGACAATTTTCTGAAGAAATTCTGTGAAGCTTAATTAATTACACTTAATACAATAACGGAAAACAATGGTAAGCAGTAAAGCCCACAAATTTAGCAGAAAAACTGTTCAATGAAAAACAAATTGAATTTGATGAAAAGAACATTCGAAAAACTACTAAGTCTATGGACAGCATTTAAATAGGCAATGTAGTTATCTTGTGAGCTCTTATAATTCTCTTTTAAGCTGAAAAAACTAAACCGAAATCGACAAGGTCGAGAACCCGAAAAAAGTCAGGTAAATTTTTTTTACCACGTATATATTTAAAAAGCTTTAAAGAATCCACGACGGTATTCATAGAGCGCTGCACAAAAATAATAGGCTGCAAAAAATATGAAGGCATATGGGGGCAGTATAAAAGTGCCGAAGTACAACAGTGCCGAAAAAAAATATTTCAACAGTGCCGAAAACGAAAACTTTGTTCAACAGAGCCGAAAATATGAACAAAGTTCAACATATTAAGTGCGGCAAACAAAAATTAAACGACAAACGTTTACCATCTTAAGTGTCACTTAAAGATATTGGGAGAGAACATTTGCAATTTAGACGTTTTGGTGCCAAAATAATTGTTTAATTTGCAGTTGCAGACATTTTAGCGCCAAAATTGGTTTGATTTTCTTTGATAATTAACGTAAGCAATTTCTCGCTCTTTAGAAAATGCGTTTAAATTATTCTGAAACTTTCCCGCCTTTTTCGGCACTGTTGTACTTCGGGGTGGAATCTCCCATACGCGAAAGACCGAATGCACGAAAATAAAAATCAGCCAATCAGATTTCAGTAATCTAAAATTTGGAAAGAAAGTAAACATTTCCAGGGACTGAACATTGATATTGGCCGAATAAAAAACGGCAGAAATATGCAAAATTTTCAATATGTCACTGAACGCTGCCGAATTGGAACAAATTTTATACTTCAAGCGTTTCGTTGTGAAAGAAGCAAAAGATTGCTTCTATTAATTCATTTATATTGAATGGCAATTGCTTCTTTTTAAAAATTGACTTTCGGGTAAACTTGTGTTTGGTCTTTCGCTCACGAGTTTTTTTCGCTCATTCGATCCTTCGCGCATGAGAATAGCCCCCGTACTTCGGCACTGTTGAAAGCCCCCGGCATATGATGCGTAAAAACTCCATGACGTCACGCGCTGAAATTTGTCTGGTGCCCAGTTGCAATACACTTGCTATCGCACTTGTACCCAAAGTACTAATTTCATTTTTATTTTATTTGTTTTTCCCGGAATTGTTCAGAAAGGCAAACGTATGTGCCATACGGCCTAAAAGCTCAAATGAAAAGCTAAATAATTACCCGAAGACAAAATAGTTTGAAAAAAATCTGAAAACATACTCATCTGGAAAAAAAATGTTCTTATAATTGCCTTAACCCTAAATACTTCTCCCAGGAAAAAACATATTTGTCCGTCAAGACACTCAGAACTCCATTTGAATAGCTACCAAGCCGACATGATTTCGGCAGAAGCAAAAAGATGAAAACAAGAAAACTTTAGAAAACACTTATTAGTGTATACTTGGCTATTTGAAAAAATAGCGAAATGGAATTAATAAAACAATGAAAAGAAATTTGTCAGGTTGTTACGAACAAGCGATGAATTCCCTGTTTGAATACTTTGCTAAAGCTGTCTTTTTTGCATTCAAGTGTTGCCGCGACAATCTCTGGACTACTGTGTGCCTCCCGAGCTGCGTCTGGGACGCATGGATCTGTCCACTCTCAACGGACTCATCAAAAACCTCCTCTGCAACAAACCGGGTGTGCAGAACTGCTCACATGTGGCCAAGTTGGCTCTAGACATCTACCTGGAAGACAATCACGATTCCTGTTTCTACGACAAAATCTGGGCAAACATTTTATCCGATATGCATCATTTGTGTCCAGTTTTGAACAGATTTTGTCCCACAAACAAAACTGAGTGCGAAAAATTTGTGGTTATACTGGAAAAAGAAGACACAATGGCTTATAAACCAATGGCCAACAAAAATTACTATGCCTTCTACGCTTCGAAAAGATGGGATTTGATAAGCTTATTCGGTATGCATGAAATATACTTCAGAGAAGCGACAGACCTTGATGTGAAGAATACGGGCCAGCTAAATGAGAGGTTGAAACAATTCCTGAATAATTCAACTGAGGTAGAGAAAGACAATCTGATGCTACAAAAACTTCGCAATTTAAGATCAAATTGTAAATTCTGGCAAAAACTTCTTTCTGAAAAACATTGAGCTTAATCATACATTTTAGATGCTTGCACATTTCAACTGCATATATTCAAAAAAAACTTTGATGATTTCATGCCTCTAAACACAACTATCTGAGATAATAAACCCTCATATAAGAGAACCATAAAACAAATACCCTCAAAACAATGTGCAATAACCGAAAAAATTTCGCAGAGCCAAAAAAACAATACTTTATCTTCGAATATCTACTTTGAAACCCAGAAACTTCATTTTATCTCCGAACTGCTAGTTGACAGAAGTTTAAGCGCCACAAAAAAACTCACAGATAAGTATTTAGATGAATACGAACTTTGACAAAAACAAAAAAGCTAATGCAGCTTCTCTTGGAAAGGAATTAAAGTTGCAATCTAGGAAGACCAGCAGTTATATGAAGAATCTTTGGCATATTCACGACACACTGGTAGTTTTTAGCCTTTACAGCCAACTATATTTGTCAAGTTTCCATCTTCGATGTTTTATAACAACAAAATATAGAACATAAAAAATTAGCAAGCAAATTTAATCAGCGATTTTGTTTCATAAACTCGATTAAACCAGCAACAACCGTACCTGAATGCTCACAGAACATCTATCTGAAGAAATCGCGTCAGATAGATGTTTTACCTAGCATCTGGAAACAAGCTACGTTTCTTTTCGGTTATACTCCCCTAAATTATGAAAAAATGACATGAAAACGTTTATTATAAAAAAGGGACACTGTTACTAGAAATGCACTATATTATTATGTGACTGGTAAAAACGAACCATTTTTACCTAATTGAGCCTCAGCTGACTTTTTTTCTCCAATTTTTTGAGCAAAAATTTCATTAAAAGGATGCTAAATACGTTTTTAATTGTCGTTAAAATCACGTTTTTTTGCCAGTTTCTAGCTTGATTTAACCGACGGTCGGAATATCAGCCCTGCATCTTTGAGGAAAACCAGTCAAACTTTCTAAGAAAAAATTTCATTTTCTTTTTTTTTTCATTAGGGGGTTATAATCGAAAAGACATCAAACTACTGCCAGCCGAATTCGAAAGAAAAACAATTCAAACTTAAAAGGTCAGAACTTGAAATTATTGCGTATCGCTGAATTGATGTGAAAAACATGTTATTTGTCCAGCCTTATATAAGCACTGTCTATCGCCCTTGAAAAATTTGAACTGACGTTTTTCAGGAAGTGAATTTATAGATATTGTTGATCAAATTTTTTATGAATAACCTGCTCAATTCGACCAATGTTTTTCACGTGAACCGAAATTGAGTATTGACGGAAATCAAAAATATGAGACGAATTAAATTAATAACGATGAACTCTAACGTGGCAAAATCTGCCCTGTTTTTGGCAAAAAGCCACTGAAAACTGTCGCTTCGCAAATTGAGACGGATTGTGAAAATGAATCTAGATTCGGTTGATTATTTCAGGCAACAAATGAGCAAAGTCATCCAAGATGTTTTTATATGTTGAGGCCAAGTTTATCATCAATTTCATCCTGTTTAAAACTCAGTTTGTATAAAATTAATATTCAGCTAGATCTAATTTACCTATCGGTCACCCTAAAAATCAAGGTCAAATCGATGACTAGTTCAATCTTATTTATGCCACAGTATCCAAGTAGGCAGTTAATTATCCCGATCAGGGGCGGATTTAGGGGGGGGGGGGGGGGGGGGGCTTTGTCCCCCCTCCATTTTTGGCCTACCGACCTTAAAATTTTTCTAAGGGCGCCAATATTAACTATTTTTTGAGGGGGAGCTCGCGCCAAAAAAACGCGATTTTTTTGTCAAAGTTTTTCAAAAAGTGCCCAAAAACGGCTTTTTTGACTGTTTTTCAATTCAAAAATTTGCCTGCGGCGCAGAAAATTTTGCCAAAATAGGGGCAAAACAATGTTTGGGAGAGCTCGAAAAATCAATTTGGTCGACCTAAAACAAAAAAAAAGGTCGTTAAAAATTTCGAAATCCCCCCCCCCCCCTCGAGAAAATCCTAGATCCGCCCCTGATCCCGATTACTTTCTCTTTTAACTTCTGACTCCTGTTTCCAGTTCCTTTGTTTCTACAAATAAAAGACGACCTATTGCTCCTTTCAAAAATAATCAATAGACTTTCTGAGTTTAATTTTGAGAGCAACATCGATTTTGCAATAAAGCATATAAAGTAACCCAGTAGAAATAACCGAGTTTTTGACTGTCTGATATCAAGAATATCGGATTTAGAAATTGTATAAAATGTAGCAAACCAGCTGCAACATAAGATAAGGGATAGATACCGAGACATTAAACTCCTGCCAAACTGTTCTTTTAATGTCGAGTTTATTTGTTGAAGCTTAGCGCAATGACAAAATACTACGCTGAAAAAATTCGAGAAAACCAGATTTCAAGGAGAATTTTGCAAGAGGATGTCCCTTTTTAAATCTTAACACCCGATAGTGCCGTTTCCCTTATTTTTAGCAAAATCAAGTTCAAGCGGAAAAACAAATAAATTTAAATGAAAAGAAGTTAGAGGATATTTTCATGAAGTTTATATAAAGAAGGGTCGCGAGGTTCTTCCAGCAGACCAATCTTTTAGCATTAAGAAAAAAATGAGTCTTTAAGCAGACCAACGTAATAAATAGATGGATGATTGATTGACAGACTCAAAAAGACGTTCAGTCTGGGGCCAAGCTTCCCCAATTAAGTCAATTATCTCACAATTTGTCAACAAAACCATCAACTTCAAAAACACAACCGTCTAAATTAGCGGCAAAACAACGATTTACGCGCGGAAAAACACTCGCGTTGAATTGAAGCGCAGCGGAGCAAGCGGTCGCTAATCGCCAATGCTGCGTTTGAAGTTAGCTATCACACTTTATAATTGTTCTGAGTCTGCTAAAAAACCGGTCTGCTGAAATCCCTAGCACCCAATAAGCCAAATATCAACCAACCTCGACGCAGAAACAAAATCGCATTGGAAAAAAGCAGGTCGAATGAGAAGCGTCTGATCTAGAGAGTGAAGTTAACGAGCGAAACAAACACAACGATGGCGATGGTGAATTCCCATAGGTTCCAATATTCATAGGATCCAAAATAAAAAATCAGTCGCATAAGTTCCAAAATTTATCTTCTTGAATTCTGATTGGTTGAAATTTGAGCCAACGAATTTATGGATCGATTGTTTACTGTTCAACCAGCATAAACTCAAGCTGCAGAATAGTGACCGACGCAGCCGCGCCAACGTGTTGCGAGCTTACCACCAAAGGGTAGGACTCTATACGAAATTTAGAGCCGGTTATCGCCGCGACGCGCGCGTAGCGCGCCCACCGGCGACCTTTAACCGAGACTCGGCTAAATTAGTCTTTTGACCAATTGAAAAGATTTGGAACTTATGCGACAGCTTTTTTATTTTGGAACCTATGGGACTGATTTTTATTTTGGAACCTATGGGACTGATTTTTTATTTTGGAACTTATGAATACGCACCATGGCGATAGACGTTTAATCGTTTCACAACTTGTTTGCCTTCAAAACGAAAAAATAAGACTAACTGCTGTAATAAATAAAATTCGGCTAATTAATTTCTTCTAATTGGGTGTCTTGCTTATGCTTTGTCGGCATGTATCAAATAAATCGAATGCTAGTTAAATAGTACTAACTAAGTGAAGTGTTTATGTTAAATAAATTCTTAACAAGAAAAATCGAGTACGCGATTTGAAAACACTTGATAATCGCAAGGGCAATTAAGACACAAAAATCGGCCTCCGCATTTGTTCAAAAAATTAGCAATTTGAACCTCGACCAATTGTGAACACTTTAATTATGTCCGAAAAAACCTCAGGTTGTTTATTCTATGAAGCAACTGAAAGAAGTTATTCCCCTCATTACAAAATGCTATATATACTTAATTAATTTCAGAAAGAGCTAGCGTGTACGTGATATTTTCAAAAATCAGTTAGTTTTTAGTGCCCCTTTAGTGGCGCGCACTCTCTCCTGTAGCTGTTTGTCTTCGGGGAAAAGGTGGGGGTGCTCCTCTCTCTTCTCATAGGGGTATTCAACTCTGAGTTTGTTGAACTGGTGTTCCTTCCATTTCCTCTCGTAGTAGCCCAGGGGCTTGTCACTGTTGGCCACTATCCGCAAGTGGTCCATGAGTTTCCTAAAACCAGACTCCAAAAATGTCTATAGCTTTGAAAAAAAGCTTCTATAAAACACAAACAAGACTGCTCGTATCAGGGCGAAGCCCTGAATGTTCCGACTGCCTTTTAAGGTTTATGGAGCAGTAACCCGTAACTTTACGAAAAATGATCACAGGTAAAATATCTTTTCAAGTTTGAGCTCAGGGCAACAATACTTTTCGAATGATAAAAAAATTCGGTCAAAAATGGCTAGTTAAAAAGTCGAAATTTGTCTGAAGAAAAAAAACCCACCCCGAGCACAAATATTCCGTTACTTTCGTATCGAAAGTCGGAACAAAAACAACAGACAATTAGAGCGGGACATTTCTTTAAACTTCGATTACCTAAAAAGTGATGAAGCCGATGCCAACAAAGACAAAAAGCGGTTGAAACTCAGACATAGCTCACAAAAAGATCAATTGCACGCCATTTGAGTTATCGTAATGAATAAACCTAGCCAACAGACAAGACAGTTTGAAAATTTTCAATGAAATCAAGGAGGCCGAGAAAATAACATTGGGACATTTTAAGCAAAAACCAGTTTAAGCAAAAAATTTTTATACCTTTAAAGCAAAAAAGCTAAAAATTATTAAAAAAAGAAACCATATACAATCAGGGATAAAAAATTACAAGGAACAAATCACTTTTAATTTTAGAGCAAATTACTCAAATCACATGAAAACCACGCTGTGGCAACTAAGCCGACAAAAAGTAAACAAACAAACGATAGGCTGACATTTTCTTCAAAAGGAATTTTTTTCAGTTAGCACAGAACGGATTTGAATTCTATTACTAAACACAAAAAGGTTCGAACTCTAGATATAGCATTTATCAGTAGCTACCAGTATTAAGACCCAGTAGTTAAAACATCAGCGCATTGGGCATCTCAGCAGCACAAATGCTTCGGTGATTTTGTTGAACAAGTCAGCCTGAAAAGGTCTAAAACCCAGTTTATTAATGCAAGTGTAAAGAAATCAAACTTTAAACCACAGAACATCAAATTTTGTGTAAACATTCCTTAATATACACGAATAAAGCTTCTTCCTTAATATACACGAATAAAAATTATCACAAACACTTCCTATATTAGTGTCATCACTATGGTCATTGACACTTAAAAATAATTGTGAGAAAACTACCTGAGAACCTGAACGTAAACGCGATGCCCTCTATGACGTCCCTAAAGGACATCATGCAATTGATATCAGCAATTTTGATATGACTGAATATGAAATTCACTTTAACATTAAACTGGAGCTCAAGTGTACAATTATTTAACTATTTAAATATTGATTACTAATTCTACCAACCAAGAAAGATTTAACCGAGCCCTAAATCAACTGATCAGAATACGAAGAGAAAAAACTATTCTTATCATGTTCTGACTGCCTCCCATCAATGAGATAGGATCTACAGGAATATGTCTGACTTGAGCATTCCTCTCGCTCGAAAAATATTGAAACATTATTAAACACTGATAGCTTGTAGCGCTAAGTAGTAATAAAAAAGCTTGAAAACAGCCTACAGGACAAAATATAGGACAGGAAAAAATTATATGACATGGTGACAGCACCGAAGACTCTATTTCTGGATTCACAAAGAGTCGTCAGCAACTGAAGACTAAATCAAAAAAGCAGAACTTCAGAACAGACAAATGCTGAACGACAGCTGCGAGTAGCAGAGTAACAAATCAACTGTCAGCTGAGACAGACAGGGGAGATAGAAGACAACTACTATTTGTCATCAACTCAAGTTTCAAACACATTTTTTTTAAAACTTGGACAAGCAAAGGTGCAGATATTGACCTACCACATCACAATTTCTGGTTCCATCAGTACAGCAGTCCCAACAAAAACCGCAAGCTCGTTGAAACTAGCAAACTTTCTTGTGTCAATCCTAAAATGAATGACGGCTAAACCTGTTATCATCAATTCTATCACAAGCAGACATTATGGCAACAATAACTGTAACGATATGTAACAATATGTTGACTGTAACAATATGGCACACGCGCAAAGTTTATTGAGCCTTTCGGAGGAACGGAGAAATATCCAAGCTACTTCCAAATTTCCAAGGATACATCGGAGTAGCAGCAAAACCAGGGCCACAGGACGATGCGCTACGATTCTATCATACGTCGCCAGCAGTCACCAGAGTGGACGTCCCGAACAGTCTCGCAGCCCTAAATATCCATTTTTGCAACCCCCAGCTTCATGAAGAACAGGTCAGAAAATTAGAGCAACCCAAACGCAGATACGCCTGAAAACTTCCTGTTGAGCCTACCAAAACAAGCTAATCGAGCGTAACCAACACCAGATGTGGCACCCGTAGCCCCGATTGACGGTGTAGCAGCCGATGCGGCGTTAAAAGCAGCGCACTTCCACACAGAAACAGCTCACAAAAAGAGAAAGATTAGATGCAGTAAATGACAACTTGATCGAACAAGTATGACAGGCTGGCTGAGATTAAAAACGAATAGAGCAAACTCTTGCTCCCACAGTTCAGAACCTTTGTAACCCGACAAAGAGGCATATCACGATACGATAGATTTGTCCAACTGATGATTACCATGAAGACGGGTAATTCAAAGAAGTAAACAATAAAGTCCCAGAAAACCTTAAAAGCGTTCTCAAAGCTGTTTACAACATCAAAATGGAGAAGGAGCTCGAAGAAGTGAAACCACAAACCACTGCGCAGTAAAAACAACTGATCGGATCTGCCTTTAGAAGAAAAACGAAACAAATTAAGCAGGTCAACATAGTGGTTATCAACAAAACCTAATTACAGGATTTATACAGCGACGAGGTGTTAGAAGGAAAACGCCAAAGCAACTGAGAAAAACGCTTTCCACTTGGCAATAACCAGCTGAACTTTCAAGCAGACGCACCTCCGCAATATCATCAGCTGTACCAACAACATAAGTAACACGCCATGTACCAAAAACATCAATTTCAGCCGATGAATCAAAATCAAATTTCAGTACGAAACCCTCCGCAACCAAAACAGATTGTAGTAAGCCCGATCCAAATTGATACTTAAGCTCCGGACGGATCTTTCGTACCAATGGTTCGACCATCAGCAAAACTTTGCGACGTCTGTGGTAAATTCAACTACACAGCAAGCCAGCCTACCAATTCATCCAAAACAACAAAAACACCAACTAACCTATCAGCTCAACCTTTACGCAATCATCCCCCCGAAAAGAACAGTGTTGACGTAAGCTAAGAATGTCATCAACAACGCAACGAGGAGCCTTGGTCGATACTGGAGCATGCGCAAATATCAAAACGAGCTTTTGAGGATTTTAAAGACGAAAAAAGCTTCGCCTTCTTTAAGTAACCAAACAAAACTAAAGAAAATAAAAATGGCAGGAGGACAACTAGGTAACCTAGAGACTGAAATTATCTTCAAAATAAGATTCGTAGATACAAAGGTTGTAGAATTTTTTCTCGTTCCACGCGCAGCTGACTCAATCTTACTTGGAAAACTTTTCTATAAGAAACACCATATTCATATCTGTCCAAATTAGATTTTATAATTTTTACCAGAAAAAACGCGGCAGATCAACAAACCCACACCTCCAATAACCAAGGCGAGTCCACCAAGTGAAAAAATGCCTTCGAAGTTAGCTAAACCTCCAAAATTATCTCAGCATCAGACAACCCTAGTGGAATGCTAGTTACACAACGCATGTCAAGACATGGAAAAAAAACTACTGTAATATTAATACCATCACGAGAAATCGAAGAAAACTACGAAATCTCATTCCCTTCCTAAATCAGCAAAATTGTGAAAAAAACTTGCTATATATTACCGCATTTTATGTCATCACATAGCTTTGCCTTTAAAAACGGGAAGGGAAAAACTTCAAAGATGACCCTAATCGATGAAGAAAACCTATTCCCGATTCAGGCAAAAATGATTGGGTTTGCAAAAATGAATCACTAAGAGGACATCAAAATGGTCATCAATGGGCTCATTTACTAATCTCTTGACAATGAGAAGCCTCAACAGCTAGAACTTTAATCTGAACACGATAAACTTTGGTTTGCTACATCTAAAACAAGCGTAAACTCTAAATTACGTTGAATTGTTGGGGGTAATTCAAAGTTTTCGCATGTTTCACGTTTAGGAAACCAGGATTACTTCCACCATTTTAACGTGACATTGAAACAAAAGCGACTTAACGAGATAAGTCGACCTTCATTAGTTACTTCAATTGGGAAGATTCCGTGTTGACTGAAGACCAAACACAAAAATATTTTCGCCAAACATAGATTGGACAAGAATTACAATCGGATTTAAAGCTAAGGCTGTACACATAAGAAACAGCTACACCGATACACTCGCGACAGTGGATTGATTTCGAGAGTGGAATTGACGACGAAACTTTCAACTGGGAGTAAAACAGCAAAAGTGATTGCAAAATAGACTACAACAGCACTTTCCGTATTCAAATGACAGATGCATGGAAGCACTTTGCCGTGAAAAACTTGTTCATACAGTTAAAATGTTTTCAAGCTTCTGACTGTGTGCAAATCGCAGAAGATCTTTCAGTACAACTTCTTGACATTTAACTTTAAATTACAAAATTACACCTGAAAACGCCTCGCTCAAAGTTTAAGTAACTCCGTCACGGAATTTAGTTTTTTATTCTCGAACCAAATTGTTACACCAGGAAAATCGCCTGAACAAGAAAAAAAACATTGTTCCTAAAGAAAACCAACCAAAACGTGAAAAGACTGATTGGTTCGTTTCTTTGGGAATCATATGCGACGCTAGGCGATAACTTGATACCATTTTATAGTCTATTGAGAAAAGAGAGCGAATTCCGAACATAGAACGAGTACCATAAAAGTCGTCAAGTGTTAAAAGATGACATAATTCAAGCAACGAATATAACACTTCGTTTGCTAAAATGAGGTAAAGACAAATTAGGCAGCAGACTTTTCGTTCAGATTGAGATCGCAAACTGAACCATCAGCTTCACTCTCACCGAAACTAACGAACAAAATTCCCTTAGGAGGGATAAAGATTGACACGATAGCAAAAGTATCTGATGCATCACTCAACCTAGTTGACCCGGTGGACGATGCGTTCTCCAAAACGGACGTTACCTTTCAATCGGTCACGTTTACCGAAGAAGATATACGCAGATCTTCGAAAGATTTTCACGACAGAACTGATTCATGGATGTGACAACTCTCCTCAAAATTAAAATCAACCACGCAGCGCTAAAACACCAGACAATTGTCACTTTCGAACGATCACACAGGATTTTCCAAAAGAAACTGAAATTGAACAGCGACCAAAACGTGATAGTCAGATAGGCACAAATTTATCCCATTGGCCACATTTTTTCGTACCACATACTCTTTATCAATCGGATTTGTGAAAGCTTACTTTATAACAGAGAAAAGGACAAAATAGAATGATCTTCGCTTATCGAGAAAACCAATAAAGCCAGAATCTGATTATGTTACATCAATGCAAGATGCGATGCTTCAAAAGTTCAAAAATAACGAAGCTACTGTAAACAGATAGCAATCGCAAAGCCACTCAAGTTTCCTTCATTCCGTCTTTTACTGAATCCACTGTTGACTACTCAATCAGACGGTTGAAGCAAACCGATGCAAAATTGCATGCCATTGTACAGATTTGAGAAGTATTAACAAGGCTGAACTAAATCAATCGCAAAGTTGAAACGATATATAAGAAGGCGTGTTCATCGAAATCGACTTTGTCCGATTCAACACAACATCAACCAGAAGAATTTGAACGGATTGATCTCACAAAAAATTTATCCACCCTTGCGCATAAATTGAAACCATTTCAAACAAACTTTGTTTTCATATCATTTTAGTTATAGGGACCTCTTTTCGCTCAATTAAGCAAAAAACATGGCTATGCCCTCTAAATGGTGGATAAGAGTTACCGCATTACCCTAGAACCTTTATACAGCAATAAAAACAGAAAAAATAGATGAATTCGCCGTAGTATTAAAACATGCAGAAAACTGAGAAAAGGACAGTCTTCAAAAGCTTTTCCAACACCTGAATGAAAATTTCGGACAGCTGTAGATGCGCGATAGTAGGCCGTACTACTCCCTGGTAATGTCTCCGATACACTCCGTATCAAATGATGTGGTTAGAAAAAATCAAATTCCAATTAAACAATTCGATTCAGGAAAAACAAGCGCATGTCAGTAATCAGAATAATTCAATCGCAGAAGAAACTGACCTTTTCAACTGCACGTGTCAAAATTGTCTCCAACTGTTTAAGAAAAACGAAAATTAATTTGTCATAACAAAAAACTAAACAAAAAAAACGTTTAATGAGCTTTTAGCTATAGCCAAGAAAACGCTTCGGGACTACCTGAGGGTCCAAGACGCAAACTTGTGCAAAAAAAAGCTGGCAAATATTTGATACTCAGAAGTTTCGAAAGTACTGTTGAAGTGAAGTGAATGATGGTTGAAAGTTCTCGGAGCATCTCCAGTCAAATAGTTTTCTACCCGACTTTGGGCAACCATCAACAAACAAAAACATCATCACTACCACAAAAAGCCATCTTTCAGAAGTATGAGCGCCCATAAATTATACGGGCAAACACACAAAAATTTATCACCAAAAATGTGAATCGCCACTATCAAAACCCGAGTTTTAAGTTTTTTTAAGTAGTACAGCCCAAATGAGGCAAAAAACACCCTTAGGAAAAATGCGGAAAACTGGAAAGCTGGTTTCAAAGCGTAAATATCAAGCCATAACACGTTCTGCGAAGTAAGAATTGCTCTTTGTTGAAAAACAAAAACGAACAAACTCGACAAAACATCAATGCTAAATTATTGGAAACAAACTTGCAACAAATGAAGCTACTGCGTCGGTTAAAACGCCTCATTCAAAAACAAGAATCAAAATCACAGCGGCAAATTTGGAAATACGGTCTGCTTTAATCGAGCGAAGCAATTTCAATGCGATAAACCGAAAAAAATGCAGAGATACACCATTACGAAAACAGCACGAAGAAGCTTAGCTAGTTAATGGAAACGAAAGTTCTTGCCGCGTAAGTTGAGTTAAAGTTGATAAATTGTTTTCATCGTTAATGTGCTGGTATACCATATACTACCATTAAAACTTAATTTCACCATTAATAACTTCTTCTCCATATTTCGACTCAAAGTGGCTCAACAATAACTTTCCTTACAAAGACTCATTCAAAAAAATTGCTTCAAAAATTATAGGCCTTTAAACCTAGTGATGGATAGATAATCTTTGGTAAGAAGCAGTAATAATTATCAAACTTAATTGCATTTTTTTAAACTGAATCCTTGTAAATTTATCCGTTAAACAAAATGCATAAAACCAGGTAGATTAATCCTTGAGATATTGTGTTACGTCCCTGTTTGACGCCATCGATGTGATATTAGTCTTTTTGATATAAATGATTATGTAATTCGTCTTAACATTAAGCAGGTCAAACTTACATTTGCTTCACTATGAAACATTGATAACTAATTCTACCAGCCATAGAAAAAGTTAAATGAGCTCTAAGCCAACTGATCAGAAAACGAAGAGTACATTGCTCCATCATAACCTGACCAGCTCCGATCGACAAGATAGAATCTAGGGGAATAGGTCTGAGTCAAGCATCCCTCAGTTTACGATATGCCTAACAGCTCGAAACATATCGAAAAAATAATAAACAGTGTTAGATTGTAATAATAATATTTAATTCAGTTGATGATTATTACAATACAATATGTATATTTACAATCATCAACAAGGATTGTCTAAAAAGCCTACGGCTTATCTAGTAGACAACCTTAAACTCAAATATCAATGACAATACAGCTGTTTATGAACTTCCTTATTATCAAGCAGATAATTATCAAAAACATCGTGTATAAAAATCTTGAGTTGATGTCTCTGCAAACTTGTCACATCTTCATTCAATAAACCAGATGCAGTTATATAATTATGAATAATGGTTCTTCTAACATTTATGGAATTTTGAAAACATTTCGTTCTTTGTATTTTACTATTAACTTTTCCAGAAGCAACTCTCCTAGTGAAGTACGCCACGTTATTAGTCGTGGTACTATCACAAACATTATTGTAGCAAATATCTTTAAACAGTTCGTAAACGTGAAGATCAAACACCGTTTCAATTTTATGCAGTCTGTACTTTTCAACTGTGCTCTCTCTATAATCAATTCTAAAAATAGCACGTATTATTCTCTTCTGTATTACTAAAATTTTTATTTAGATCTGTTAAGTTTGCACAGCCATAAACCAATACGCCATATTGAAGAACAGGTTTGATGTAGGATCTGTATATCAGTAGAAGCATTGGAATATTAAATAATTTTCTGGAACGATATATTACTCCGCACAGTTTAGACAATTTCTTAATAACATGTTCAATATGCATCTTGAAGTCTAACTTTGAATCAATGTAGATACCCAAATACTTCGTGCAATCAACCATTTTTATGCATTCACCTTTTATATCAAGACCAATTTCTCCATTTTTCTTGCTGAAAAATGGAGCTCTTCTACATTTTTCTTGCTGAAAAATGTAGCTCTAAATAGTACCATAAAAGCTCGAAGACAGTCTACAGAAAGTCAAAATCTGTGACATAAAAGACTGTAGTTGACACCTTCCCTTAGGGATCAGATTGTGGTCACACTTACTGGTTGGCGTCTTGCACTTCTTTTAATTTAATAGGATCCATTTTGGCCATTATCTCTGCATTTTGTTCTTCAGTGGGCTGCATCCACTTGAACAGCTGGTAGCTGGCCCATCCAGTCGCACACAACACTCCAGCAGAGACCGCCCATTGCTTACGCTTCAGACGACGTAAGTCTTTCAACTCTGCCCTATTTTCCATCCACAACAACAATCAACAACACATCAACTCTGAAAACACACTTATTTTTGTACAGTTTGTCTACAGGTAAACAAAACCATTCGAAAGCAAGAAGAAAAAACAGAACAATCCGAAAGCAGATAAAGTTTAACAAACAAACAAACCAGTAATTTAAACAGCAAAAATTAGCTATATTTGCAGATTTTATACTTTGGTTACCAATTAACAAAGTAGCAAGTATATCGCTCAATTTTAACACAGAGGCAAAGCAACAAAAAAATTTAAAAAACAAGTCAAAAACTAGTGAAAAATAAAAAAATAAAAAATAGGTCTACCAAAATTTTAAATTTTTCGATGTCTCGATAGAAAATCATTTCAGGCAAAAATCCCAGAAATTTGACCATTAAATTAGCAACGGAACATAACGGAGCAGACACAAGTTGAAACGAAAAAATGGTTATATAAAACAAATCCTCAAGTTTCATGTCTTACATGAAACTACAATGAACAACACTTGTAACTACAATGAAAGTTGCTTACAGCGCAAAAAAAATCAATAATATAGCAACTCAGTCTATAATTTTTGAGCAGTCACCAGCTGAGCCGAAGAAAAAAAAATGATTAAAAAATTCATATCTTTACAGTTCTCCCCAGATACTAAAATAAACAACACTTGCACTCGCAATGAAAGTTGCTTGAAGCACAAGCAAAATCCGTGATGTGGCAACTTAGCTGAAAAAAGTGAGCAGATAAATGAAAGTTTGACAAGTCAATTTTCACGATTTTTTTCAATTGCATTCAAAGTGAAAAAAAAACAAGGTCCGACCGAGACCTTGGCCAATTTGGAAGGAGCTGAAAATGTTACGGTTCGATATTAAAAACACAGAGACGAAGCAATACCACAAAAATAGCATTGCAAGCTAGCGGACAGGAAAGGAGAGCAATAAGTCCAAAGAAAAAGTCTTCGGATAGACCACAACTAAAAAACTTCAAAATGTTGTAGAATGATGATTTTTGCAAAACAATCACGTCCAGAAGCACATTCGATAGCGTTTAATGAAAAATCAAAAACAATTATCGAACGAAAATAAAAATGTTGTCAGGAAAAACTATGATCTATAAATTTTATTATGAGACATTTAACCTTTTGTGCAATCCGGAGGAAAACATGCAAAATATGGCTAACTCAAACGTCCTGAGCTCAGGTTAGTCAGCCGATAAAAAAATCCGAAATCACTTAGGGCAAAAATTTTAAGCAAAAAAAAATTTTTAAGAGAAAATTTACGAAGTTAAGGCTAGTAGAACTACCAATTACAGGAGTAAATGAAAACATAAAAAGCAACAATAATGAAAACGGCATATAGCAAAAAAAATCTAAGATGTGCAAACAAGCCGACAAAACATAAGCAGAAAAATAATAGGCCGACAAGTTTTTTTAAACACAGACGAAGCAATACCACAAAAATAGCATTGCAAGCTAGCGGACAGGAAAGGAAAGGAGAGCAATAAGTCCAAAGAAAAAGTCTTCGGATAGACCACAACTAAAAACTTCAAAATGTTGTAGAATGATGATTTTTGCGAAAAAATCACGTCCAGAAGCACATTCGATAGCGTTTAATGAAAAATCAAAAACAATTATCGAACGAAAATAAAAATGTTGTCAGGAAAACTATGATCTATAAATTTTATTATGAGACATTTAACCTTTTGTGCAATCCGGAGGAAAACATGCAAAATATGGCTATCTCAAACGTCCTGAGCTCAGGTTAGTCAGCCGATAAAAAAGCCGAAATCACTTAGGGCGAAAATTTTAAGCGAAAAAAACTTTTAAGAGAAAATTTACGAAGTTAAGGCTAGTAGAACTACCAATTACAGGAGTAAATGAAAACATAAAAAGCAACAATAATGGAAACGGCATATAGCAAAAAAAATCTAAGATGTGCAAACAAGTCGACAAAACATAAGCAGAAAAATAATAGGCCAAGTTTTTTTAAACGCAATATTTCCTGGTTAAAAAAAACAGTTCCTGCTCCGATTTGAACACAGGACCTTTGCTGTCCCAGGCTTATTCGTTATTTCCAGACTTAGTGCGCCTGAGACGCTCAGGAGTTTGAATTCAATATGGACCAAGATAACAAGTGTTTCTGTTAAACAAGTTGTTAACCGAACCCGAAAAAAGTCTAAATTCCGATTTGATAACGCTTGCTACTTATTATCACAGAGGCGAAGCTGCGATTCGCAAACACTAGCGAGAACACAAAAAAGACCGCTTTTCAAAGTGAAAAAAAAAGAAAAAAAAAACCTCAAATTAGTAAAACTTCTAGGTATCGGATTCGAACCTGCGACCTCGATATTTGGAGTCTCACGCCCTACTCGCTCGCCCACAAACTTTGAACAACCAACAAACCTTAGTCACGAATAAAACAGCTACAAATGCAAGTAAACTATATTTGCGACTTAGTTTAGAAAAAAAGAATAGTCGTACTATTACACTACCTCACTAAAGTTCGCTAGTAGATCCAACTCAAGCAAGACAGACAAAAAACTAAAATAGTTTTAAGCGTTCAAAAAAAACAAAGAAGCCTTTGAATAATTGACGTTTCTCAGTAACTTTTGGACGAAGAAAGAAATGTAGGTTCCCTCTGCCTTTGCTAAAATATTCAACACACCTTTGCAAATAGCGAAGTCCGAACTGTGATATGCATTTGAATATGATTAACATGAAAAAGTGAAACAGTTTTTAGTTTCAGAAACTTTCAATTTCGAAATAGCAGAAAACGAGTATCGAGGCTGTCTACAGAAAACTACTACTGGGCCCCTAAAACAAACAAGACTGCTGGTATATCATCGAAAAACCTTGAACATTCCAGCTGTCCTTTTTCTTTATTCCCAGGTGAATGATCACAGGAGAAACATCGTTTTATTGTGATCTCAGAGGATAATGATATCTTACAGATGGTTCAAAACAATTTGTAAGAAAAACGCGTAGCTAACGCTGATCTTTCTACTCTAATCTTACAAAGTAAGTTTCAATTTTGGCGTGAGCAGTACCATGACATTCTACTAATCGCAGCCTAAATATAGCATGCCATTTCTAGCACATTCAGCAATATGAAACAATAAACTGAACACAGGCAAAGCTGAGCTTCGCACTACTTGCGATACACAATAAAACACAAAATAATGTGTCATAAACGAAAAATGAAAAACATGATTGAATTATGTTGAAAAAATCGTAGGCTGAAAAATGAGGAAAATTTTTTATTGCAATTTTTATAGAAGTCATGTTTGCCTTCCAAACTAACGAAAGATTTGGGCTTAATTCTATCCGTTTCTTTCTGATAACCAATAGATGAAACATTTCGGTCAAAAATTTGAGATACGATTATCCCTTAATACACTGAGAAACTCTAAATTAAATCTTTCAACCGGACGATCTGCATATCCAATAGGAACAACCGGGGATAAAGGCCCTACCCGCTATAGTATTAGATTAAAATGAAAAAAATACGAAAAACAAAATTTCAAACACATGACTGCAAAATTACAAACAGCTGCCACAAAAAAGAACTTGCAAAAATCTGAAAAAACTCTGAAAACGTTCGAAAATAACGCAATTACCAGTCAGGAATTATCAGTTATGGAATTTATACGCAACGGTAAAAGAGAGATCACATCAAAAAAATAACATAAAAAACGCCCAAAATGGAAATAAGAAAACATGAAAAAAAATTTCAAAATTTTCAGCCAGAAAGAACCACACGGAATCTCGTGCAAACTTACCGCCACGTTCCTTTGTAGAGAAAAATTGAAATTTATTAATTCTTTTTGATTTTTTTGACAAATTGAAACAATACGTTAACTTAATTGATTTCAAACAAAAATGATTCCCTGAAACGCGCCTAAATAAAAAAACTCAAACTAGTTTCATGAACTTTTAGAACAAAAAATCAGAAACCATGCATCCCAAAAAAATATTTTGCAAAAAAACTTCTATCAGAAAGATTCGAAAAAGTTCTGAAGGAGAAAAGTTTGACGCCTATAAACATGAGAAAACCATGAACTATATTTACCCTCATTAAAGTGAAGAAAAAGGTATTAAAAGATCCGCTAAAAATTACAGAACTAATTACCCGGCTAGTAGGCCGACAAATATTGGGTCGAAATCTATGAAGCCGACAAAAAAATCAATTAACATCTCATAATTTTTTTCAGTTGTTAAGCAATTATCACTTGGGTCATTAAAAATTTTTTTAATTAAGGCAGTTAGATGTGCATCTCGAGTAGAAATAGAGAGACATTTAGAGATGAACAAACTTCAGTCATCCTGTGGACAAAGTTGTACACGGAAAAAAGTCTAGTACCCCATTGTAATACCCTTGGTTATCGCAAGGGTGAAAATCAGAAAAATTGCATCACCTTATTTGCCATGCAGCAGCAATTGAAACTTAAAGAAACAACAGGTTGGAACTGTTTTCCACACTCTTAGAAAATTGCATATTGAAAAATAAGAGACACAGTAAAAACCGAAATATAGAAAAATTAGTTCTTATGCACTAAACGGTGTGCGATGTGTTTTCTGCTTGCCAGCAGAAATGAGGACTTTTTAAGAAAAAACAGCCGGTTAACTTCAGCACCGGCTACCTTAAATCGACCTTCGGCTTTGTAGTAAAAATTTGCATTCCAATTTTCAGCTTTTATTTTCTGGAAAAAAATGAAATCATTTTTGCCGTGTATCTGACTTTTTACCGTGTATCTGACTTGCAGTGAAACTAATGCGGTTGAATCTGATTGGCTAATAATATACAAAAAAAATCAAGAAAGATAATCCGGCATTTCATTTAAAACTCCAAACTCACAAAATCTTGGTCAACTTTTCTTTACTAAAATGCAATTCAAAAAGGCCAACAGGCATAGATAAGGGCGCTCGTTCAAAAATATAACTCTGAGACAAAGTGGAGCTTCGAATCACTTGCGATATAATGCAAGCGCAACATTGCAAGTTAGAGAATAGGAAATGAGACAGAAAACACGAAATCGATAAAAATGCATATTTTTTCAGAAAAACCATCAGAAAACACAACCACCAGTATTAAGTTAGCTTTATGTATTTACCGAGCGGTCACTTAGCCGACCACAAATGAGTAAACGCTCATTGAGCAGAAAACAAAAATAAACGTAGGAAAGTGTTGTCACAAATTTTTTTGAGCAATTAAGTTTTTATAACTTTGAAATCTTGCAACACAAACTCCCTAAATTTTTTTTAAAAAAATCATTATTTGCCTTTAAAGCAATATAAGGAAACAGAACAAGAAAACTCTGCCATGTTGCAACTAAGCCGACGAAACATAAGCAGACAAACGAAAGTCCTAAAATTCCGTTTTCCCGGATTAAACATTTTCAATTTGATACATGCTGAAACAAACAAGGTCCGACCAGCAACAGCTCATTTTGTCTTCCTTGTAGCAGATTAAACTGATTCGAACTTCAAAATAAAAAAAAAACTGAAAATCAAAATTGAGCGTGAACAACTAAAAAAAACCTAAATAAGTGTCCCTCGACCTTTTTGGTCCCAATCATGGAGGTTATCTCTACTAAATCAATCTCCAAATACAGCTAAGCAACCCATCTGTGCTATTCGTACAGCAACTACTTACTCTTAACCTGTAAGAAAAATTGTTTATTTGAAAATAAAGTCTAATCCCCAACTATTAATCACTTGTGAGTGCAAATATATCGGTTACTAGTATTTCGATATACTATATCTGGAAGTTTTAAGCAAATTTAATGCAAAAACACAATGCTAAAACGTCAAAGATTGATTTGACGGAGACACAGAGTGTTTTAGATAGATATAATAAGTAACATACTATAATATACCATTTAGTTTCACGATGAATCAACCCGCGACAAAACTTTTTCGTGAAACAAACCTGCCCAAGATATAGCCATTTTGTGCCAATGAGTCAAAGATTTAATTCAACAACTTGTTCACACGTTTTTTTTGCGGTTTAATGAAATTTCACTGCATTTCGTGCTGAATTAAAATAAAACAACGGGATAAAATGAAATAAAACTGAATTTTCAAACTCACTTTTCTTAATATCAGTAGTATTTGGTAAAAAAAATGACGAGGACAAAAAAAATGCTTGGAATTTTACTAGCTTTTTATGGTGTATTTTAAAAGTTTTTGAACCATAATAACACCATTAACACGGGTCAATTCATTTTGTTCAAAATCGATGAGGACAAACGTCATTTGATATAAGAACTAGCGCGTCAATCGCACCTCCGGATCGCATAAGGATTTGAGCAGTTGTATTTGGACGCCAGATTTGCAACCCCTGAATGTACCCTGACAGGAACCCACTATAAGGTTGAGAAATTCAAGCTCGAATAGTTTTTTTTATGTCTAAGTTTCGTTGAAAAAAATGGAAAAAAAAATCATAAAAAACGCCATATCTCGAAAATGCAGAAGGAGTTGAGCAGTCATACTTGAACGCCAGATTTGCAACCCTGAATGAACCCTTACAGCAACCCACTATATGTTTGAGAAACTCAAGTTCGGTTAGTTTTTTATACCTAAAATCATAGAAACGCTGTCTCGGAAACCATAATTATTTGAGCAGTCATCCTTCGACGCTAGATTTGCAGCCTTTAAGTGTACCCGATAGCACCCCACTATAGGGTTGAGAAATTCAAGTTAGATATAAAAAAAACTAACCCAACTTGAATTTTTATATCTAAGTTTTCTTGAAAAAACAAAGAAAAAATTTGAAAAACGCCATATCTCGAAAACTTTAAGGATTTGAGCAGTCATACTTGGACGCTAGGTTTAGAGCCCTTGATTGTACCCCGATAGCTCACCACTGTAGGGTTGAGAAATTGAAGTTCGGTTAGTTTTTTTTAATATCTAAGTTTTTTGAAAAAAAAATCAAAATCATAAAAAACGCCATATCTCGAAAACCATAAGTATTTGAGCAGTCATACTTGGACGCTAGATTTGCAGCCCTTGAGTGTACCCGATAGCACCCCACTATAGGGTTGAGAAATTCAAGTTCGGTTAGTTTTTTTTAATCTAGTTTTTTGAAAAAAAAAATATATACAAAACTCCATATCTCGAAAACCATACGGATTTGAGCAGTCAAAATTGGACGCTAGAACTGCAGCTCTTGAGTGTAGCCCAATAGGACCCAGGGTTGAAAAAATCAAGTTAAGTTACTTTTTTTTAATATCTGAACTTTTTGAAAAAAATTTTAAAAAACGCCATATCTCGAAAACCATAAGAAATGGAGCAGTCATAATTGAACGCTAGATTTAGAGCCCTTCATTGTACCCCGATTGCACCCCACTATAGGGTTGAGAAATTCAAGTTCGGTTAGTTTTTTAAAACTAAGTTTTTTGGAAAACTGAAAAAAAATCATTAGAATGGCCATATCTCCAAAACCATAAGGATTTGAGCAACCATATTTGGAAGCTAGATTTGCAGCTCTGGAGTGTACCCCGAAAATACCCCACTATAGGGTTGAGAAAATCAAGTTCGGTTAGTTTTTTTTTAATCTAGTTTTTTGAAAAAAAAAGAAGAAAAAAAATGTAAAAAACGCCATATCTCGAAAGCCATAAGAAGTTGCACACTAGATTTGCAGTCTTCGAGTGTACACTGATAGCACCCCACTATAGGGTTGAGAGATTTAACTTCGATTATTTTTTTATATCTAGGTTTTTTGAGAAAAAAATGAAAAATCATAAAAAGCGCCATATCTCGAGCCATAGGGACTTGAGCAGTCATACTTGGACGCTAGAATTGTAGCCCTCGAATGTAACCTGATAGCACCCCACTATAGGGTTGAGAAATTCAAGTTCGGTTAGTTTTTTTATATCTAAGTTTTTTGAGAAAAAAAATGAAAAATCATAAAAAACCACCATATCTCAAAAACCATAAAGATTTGAGCAGTCATACTTGAACGCTAGATCCGTAATCCTGATAGAAACTGATAGAAACCCCACTAAAGTGTTGCCAAATTCAAGTTCGGTTAGTTTCATTTTATATCTAAGTTAATTGAAAAAATGAAAAAATCATGGAAAACGCCATATCTCGAAAACCATAAAAATTTGAGCAGTCATACTTTGACGCTAGATTTGTAGCCCTCGAGGGTACACTGATAGCACCCCACTATAGGTTTAAAATATTCAAGTTCGGTTAGTTTCTTTTTATATCTGAGTTTTTGGAAAAAAATGAAAAAAAAAAGTCGTAAAAAACGCAATGTCCCGAAAACCATAAGGATTTGAGCAGTCATACTTGGACGCTAGATTTGCAGTCCTTGAGTGTACCCTGATAGCACCTCATTATAGGGTTGCGAGATTCAAAATTATAAGTAAAATGTGAAACAAAATCTGTGATAGTTTTACGTAGCGAATAAAGGAAAAAACGTAAAGCATTCGAGCTCCATCAGATTTTGAAGCGCTGACTTCAGAAAACTTTTCAACCCTAGCATATTTTGGTCTTTCATAATACGATTTTGGTCTTTCAGAATTTTGGTCTATCATTGGCAAAGATAGAGTTCTCTTAAACATGTCAACATAGGGACCTCTTAAATATTTGTCACATGAAACGCCACTTGAATAATAGATAGATAACTACAATTTAGCCTGTGTATCTCCTCAATTTTGAACAAAATAAAATGACCGGTTTAGGGGTGTAATTTTGGTTCAAAAACTTGCAAAATTGCACCATAAAAAGCTAGTAAAATTCCAACCAATTTTTGTCCTTGTTATTATTTTTTGCCAAATACTACTGAAATTGAGAAAAACGAGTTTGGAAATTCAGTTTTAGTTCATTTCATCCGGTGGTTTTATTCAGCACTATAGTATCTTGTGCAGCACAAAATGCAGTCAACATTCATTAAACCGCAAGAAAACTTGTGAACAAGTTGTTGAATTAAATATTTGACACACAATGGCTATACAAAGGTTTTCTTTTCGCAGGGTGATTCATCGTAAAACTAAATGATGTATTACTTCGTACATCTATCTGAAAAACCCTGTATGTTTGAAATATGTTCTTCTATAGTTCACCGACAGGTATCGGGGTCAATAACTCCATTGGCCCCCTGCCCACTCTCGTTTCAAAGTGTGGAATGATAGCGGTAGCGTCCAAGCTACAAACTGGAATGCCCAACATGGCAGCTTTGCTATCCGGTTCATCACGCTCATCCAGCGTCAGGTTGCACTGAGGAAAGACATGCAAGAGCCAGCTATACAGCTTCGTTTTGGTCTTCTCTTCAAAAAAGATGAAAGCATTTGACCCTGCGTCAAAACTGTAGCATGCGAGCAATCTGCCATAGCTATCATTAAATGCGTGAATGGTTCCAATTAGCTCGAAGCTCTGAGTGTTCAAGTAACTGATGGGCGGTAGAGAATCTAAACATATTGCATGTAGCTGATTGCTTTCTTTCATGCTAATTAATCCAAACTTCTCAAAATCTTTATTTTGAATCGCTTGTTTTAATTCTGCGATTCGGTTAGAAACAATCTCCAGTCTATGCTTTAGCAACTGGCTCGTTTCAACTGATCTCTGCATGCCTCCAGTGGACGGATTATTCTTCTGGCTAGATGAGAAAACTAGGACGAGAATTCTCAGTTCTGGCCAATGGGATTCGGCAGATAGCTGAACAGCTCGGCTGTCTTCGCTGCATGTTCCCTTTTCCCACAAAACGAATCCTCCGTGCATGCTCCTACATGCAGATCCTGAACCCAGTCGGGCAATAACTGACCAATCCGAATTCAGTTCGAAGAAACTGCACAAGAGGAAAGCGATAGCAGCAAAGCCGGATGCTGAAGAAGCCATGCCAGACGCAGTAGGAAAGTCATTCTGGGAAACAATCAGCAAAGACTTTGTCTTTCGCTCTTCTTTTGTCGTTCTGGTCCTGAGCACCTGCATTATATTTTGTAGTCTGGGTCCAACCTCGCTTTTTGTTCCATTTAAAACGAGAGATAGAGATGACTTATTGCAGTTTGAAACTTCGTAGAGTGAAGATCTGGTTCTGATGTCGTCCGAGCTGAGAGTCACACTGACTGAGGAGTTCAGGGGAAGGATGTTCCTTTCATCACTCTTCCCCCAGTACTTAACAATTGCGATATTGGGACTGGAGCAACAGGATTTAAAGTGCTGGTACTTAGCCATCTGGCAAATGTGCAACCCTTTCTTCACATGAGTGTAATGGATTTGAAACCGATAATTGTTGTGGAGGTTAAATAGCACGAGATAGCTTTCTTCTAACTAGATTAAGCAAATCAAACTCAATAACCTAAATAGCTTTGTAAGCCACAAACCACGAATATTTGATCAAGCATGAGCAAAAACGCAAGTTAACTCTCTGCAACTTCCGATAAATAGCAAAACTTTCAGCGAAAATATTTATAACCACCTATGATTCCATCACTCATTGGAGGGCGAATTATCGTATATCCGAGTGAAATTTAGATTACATAAAAAAGTTCATCCGAGTTTTGGTATAACTTTGAAGGCCAGCTCCTAAGATTTTTAGCATGGCGGCTGAAATTTGATTATTATTTCTCAATTTCCAGAAGGGGAATTTCGATCTTGTTATAAGGCTAGGATAAACATAGTTTTCTGAAAAAAAAATTTTGCGATTGTTCATGACAGATTTTTCGGAGTTTCACATAACCACTCCACCTACTTACTGAACGCCACCAAGTTTTCGGGACCTCTGAGTTACTAGCCTACCTACTCCTATTAAGATACAGCTTAGATATTTTCACTTGAATAATGAGATGGTATAATCAAAACTGAACTTCAAAAAAACACCAAATGCCACGAAGCAAAAACAACAAAACAACGACCGCCTTGAAGCCAAAAAAATATCTAATTTCAACAGTTAATAACATACGAAAAAAAATCACTATGTGGTGTATAAAAACATCGGAAAAGATAAAAAAAACATTGAAAGGTGTATAAAAACATTGCAAAAGATTAAAAAAACATAGGAAGGTGTATAAAAAACATTGGAAAGAAAATAAAAACGTTGGAAGGGGTAAAAAGAAACATTGGAAAAGATAGAAAAAACATTGGGAGGTGTATAAAAACATTGAAAAAGATTTTAAAAACATTGGAAGGTGTATAAAAACATTGGAGAAGATCGAAAAACATTGGAGAAAAGATAAAAAAAAACATGGGAAGATGTAAAAAAAACATTGCAAAAGATTAAAAAAAACATTGGGGGGCGCATATAAACATTGGAAAAGATTTAAAAAACATTGAAAGATGTGTAAAAACATTGGAAAAAATAAAAACATTGGAAGGTGTGAAAAAAATACATTGGAAAAGATAGAAAAAACATTGGAAGGTGTATAAAAAACACCAGCAAGCCCGTCTCCAATAATCAATCGGCTCGCAAAAAATTAGTTGTTAATCTGATCAAACTATTCAAGAAAAAAAACTTCGGACAATTTCAATTTCAATTTCAATCGCTTTCAATTTCAATTTCAATTTCAATTTTCCTTAAGCCAAACTTTTCAAATAAATCAGTCTGGAAAAGTTTTAAAGTTTTCTAAGCAAATTGTCGCAGCTAAAAAACTTTGAAATGTTTCAAATTAATTCATGAAGCGATTTGAATGGCGAAATGAATGAAAATTTGAATATTTCTAAGTTAATTCATATATCGAACTGGTTTGTAGAAAAACCATAGGTTTTTATGCAAACTTTTGAGCAAACAACTTTGAAACGTTTGGTTTTATTTTAGAAAAAGAATCAGACTGCACAAAATCAAGTACTTTGTAAGCAAGCTATTCAAATTCCAAGTTATTTCAGACTTAATCAGTTAGAGAAACATCAAATTTTTCTATTTCAGTCATTCAATCGATGAAATTTCGAAATATTTCAACTTATTTTACAGACCGAATCAATTTTCTAAAAGTTCAAATTTTTCTGAGCGAGCTATTTAAGCTATGATTCTTTGAAACACAGCGAAGCAAATCGGCTAGCGAAAAAAGTTTCTATTGAAAACATTCAAGTGATGAAACTTTGAAATAGTTCAAGTTTTTTCATGAAGTTAATCGGACAACAGTAAATTTTTATATAGGAGCCATTCAAGCAATGATACTCTAAAATACTTCAAGTTATTTCATAGATCGAATTGATTTTGAAAAAAAACAAGTTTTTCTGTGCAAACTGTTTGGCGAAAAAAAATGAAATGCTCCAAATCATTTCATAGAGCAAATCAGTCCGCGCAAAATCAAGTATTTTTTAAGCAAGCCATTCAAGCTATAAAACTTTGAAGTACTCTAAATTACTTCAGATTCAACCGGTTCGCGAAAAATTGAAGTTTTCCTATTGAAGCCATTCAAACGATGCAATTTTGAAATAATTCAAGTTAATTCATTGAGCGGACCAGTCCGCAAAAAAACACATTTTCCTTAAGCAAACTTTTCAAGCAGTGAAAATTTGAAATAATTTAGTTTATTTCAAAAGGAATTGCATAGCAAAAACTTTCGGTTTTTTCCATTGGAGCAATTCAAGCTATGAAACTTAGAAATATTTCAAGTTAGTTTTTAGAGTTAAAAAATTTTCAGGTTTGTTTCATAGAGCGAAACAGTTGGCAAAACATTGATTTTTCCTTCAAGTTATTTTTTGAAAGAAATCGGATAGCAAGAAATTGAAGTTTTTTATTGGAACCACTCAACCGCTGAAACTTGAAAATTTCAAGCACTTTCATAGACCGAATCGTTTTGCCAAAAACTGAAGATTTCTATGCAAGGTAGAAAAGCAAGGAAACTTCTTGTTTTTCGTAAGCATGCTATTCAAGTTTGTCATGGAGCAAATCAGATCAAGTTACCCTAAGGCAAGTTATTGAAGCTGCAAAAATTTGAAATATTTCAAGTTGTTGTTTAGGTCGAAACCTTTTGCGAAACTGTAGTTTTGCTAAAAGAACTAATGACGAAACTTGGAAAAATTCCAAGTTAATTCTTAGACCAAGCCAAGACGCGAAATATTTCAAGATTTTCGAAGCAAGCCTTTTCAAGCTGTGAAACTTAAAAAAATAGTTTCAAATTATTTCATGAAGCGAACCAGATGGAGAAAAACTTAAAATTTTCCAGGAAATATACTTCAGGAATGAAACTTTAAAATATTTTAAGATATTTTATAAGACGAATTGGTTCTCGAAAAATTTTGCATGAGCAAGCTATTCAAACTTCAAAACTTAGAAATAAATCAAGTTATTTCATGAAGGGAATCAGTTTACAAAAAACTTCTCTTAAGCCAGCTATTCAAGCTTCGAAATTTTAAAATGTTTGAGAAAGAATCGGTTCATGAAAAGTTTAAATTTTTCTAAGCAAGCTGTTCGGGCCTCAAAATTTTGAAGGATTTCAAGTTCATTCGTAAAATGAATCGGTTTGCAAAATATTTAGGTTTTCTAAGCAAGCTATTCCAGCTATGAATTTTTTTAGACTGTTTTGGTTCGCGAAAAGTTTAAATTTTCTAAATAAGTTATTACAGCTATGATAATTTGAAATAATTCGAGATATAACATCGAAGGAATCGGTTCGCGACAGTTAGGATTTTTCTATGCAAGCTATTCCAGCTACGAAAATTTGAAATATTCCAAGTTTTTTATGGACTAATTCGGTTTGCGAAAATTAATTTTTTTTCTGAGCATGAAATTTAAGCAATGAAACTAGGAAATATTTCAAGTTATTTCATAGAGCAAATCGATTGGCAAAAAATTCATGTTTTTCTTAGCAAACTATGAAACTTCGAAATGCTTTTAAAAGTTTCATGAAGCAAATCGGAAGGCGAAACTTTATGTTTTTCTAAGCAAGCTGTGCAAGCGATGAAACTTAGAAATATTTCAAAATATTTCATAGCGCAAATCAGTTTGCAAACAGTTAGTTTTTTGTAGCAAGGAGTTTGCTGTTTTTAGTTGATTCGTTTCAGAATAAAATCACTCGGTGAAGGTAAAATTTCGAAAAAAAGTACAGGCACTGCCAAATTTAAAACTTAAGAAAATTTGAAAGTTCCAGAATATTCTTGGCCTTCTCTTAAACACTAAGCCTAAAATTTTCTTTAAACGTTGCATTCGACAATGCTAAAACATTGCCTTCAGTTAAACATTGCATCCATAGCGAAATCCGACTTTCATTTTATATATAAGATTGGAAAAGAGGAAAAAAACGAATGGTGTATAAATCACTAGCAAGCCCGTCTCCAATAATCAATCAGCTGCCATAAAATTAGTTGTTAATCTGATCAAACTATTCAAGAAAAAAACTTCGGACAATTTCAATTGAAGCCGTATCGTAGATTGGCCTGAAAAAGTTCAATAAAATAAATCAGTTTGGCAAATTTGTAATTTTTCTAAGCAAGCTGTCGCAGCTAAGAAACTTTGAAATATTTCAAACTATTTCATGAAGCGATTTCGATGGCCAAATGAATGAAAATTTGAATACTTCTAAGTTATTTCATATATCGAACTGGTTTGTAGAAAAATCATAGGTTTCTATGCAAACTTTCGAGCAAACAACTTTAAAACGTTTGATTTTATTTTACAAAGTGGATCAATCTGCGAAAAATTGAGTACTTCTTGTGCAAGCTATTCAAATTCTAAGTTATTTCAGACTTAATCAGTTAGCGAAAAAAAATTCTATTTCAGTCATTCAATCGATGAAATTTCCAAATATTTCAAATTTTCACAGAACAAATCAATTTTCCAAAAATTCAAACTTTTCTGAGCAAGCTAATTGAGCTATGATTCTTTGAAACACAGCGAAGCAAATCGAGTAGCGATAACTCTAGCAGGGAAGCAAATCGGATAACGAAAATTTTTTCTATTGAAAACATTCAAGTGATGAAACTTTGAAAAAGTTCAAATTATTTCATGAAGTTAACCGGACAACAGTAAATTTTTATATACAAGCCATTCAAGCAATGATACTCTGAAATATTTCAAGTTATTTCACAGATCTATGTTTTTCTAAGCAAACTATGAAATATTTTGAAAAGTTTCGTGAAGCAATTCGGATAGCGAAATTTTATGTTTTTCTAAGCAAGCTGCGCAAGCGACAAATTTTTGAAATATTTCGAAATATTTCATAGCGCAAATCAATTTGCAAACAGTTAGTTTTTTCTAGCAAGAAGGTTGCTGTTTTTAGTTGATTCGTTTCAGATTAAAATCACTCGGTGAAGGTAAAACTTCGAAAAAATGTACAGGCACTGCCAAATTTAAAACTTAAGAAAATTTGAAAGTTCCAGAATATTCTTGGCCTTCTCTTAAACGTTAAGCCTAAAAAATTTTTTAAACGTTGCATTCGACAATGCTAAAAGATTGCCTTCAGTTAAACATTGCATCCATAGCGAAATCCGACTTTCATTTAATATATAAGATTGGAAAAGAGGAAAAAAAAAACGAATGGTGTATAAATCACTAGCAAGCCCGTCTCCAATAATCAATCAGCTGCCATAAAATGAGTTGTTAATATGATCAAACTATTCAAGAAAAAAACTTCGGACAATTTCAATTGAAGCCGTATCGTAGATTGGCCTGAAAAAGTTCAATAAAATAAATCGGTTTGGTAAATTTGTAATTTTTCTAAGCAAGCTGTCGCAGCTAAGAAACTTTGAAATGT